GATGATCAGTTGAAGGGCGCTAATTCGCAAAATAAGGGGATTTTAAACTATTTTACCGTAATTTGAAACCATTGTCAATATAATCTAGGTAAGCAGGTGGTTAACATAAGCAAGAATTTAGTCCAATGAAACTTCTTATCATCTTGATACTTTACGACGAAAATTGACCCTACCAGCGTCACCACGGCGTCCCCACCGATCGATCTAACGTGACGTTGTTATGTGGGTGTGTTACAGATTATTGAGAATGGTAATATCACCGAAAAAATAGATAAAATGACAGTTGAATGACCAACAAAGACAACTGAAGACAATATTTTGTCATTAGATGTTATTTAGTATAACTTTATTCGGAAAAGTAATCTCAAAATCGAGTTGCCGTCCCCGGAGTTGTCAGTGACGTCGTATGATTTGTGTGCAATTTTTACCAATTAGCCCCTAAGTAAAAAATAGTTGAGCCATGAAGTATCTTGTAAATCAACCCAGAAACCCGGTAGTTGTTGATTGTTTATTGGTAGTTGCGTCCCTTCGCTGCCAAAAATAGTTTTTTGGCAGTTTCGCCCCCGGTGACATCGTGCTGGCATGGTGAAGTCTGGTTGATTTGGTGGCACATCGATTGAGTATTTTCATTCATCTGGCCATGTAAGTCAGTGGCGTATCTAGATGTCTTGAAATGGATGGGGGCTGATGGGGGTGGGGCGAAGGTGAAGAGGGGGATGGGGATCGATGATCAGTTGAGGGGTGCTAATTCGCAAAATAAGGTGATTTTATGTGATTTTAAACTACTTGACCGTGATTTGAAACCAGTGTCAGTATAATCTTACATAAGCATGTGGTTAACATAAGCAAGAATTTAGTCCAATGAAACTGTTTATCATCTTGATACCTTCCGACGAAAATTTACCCTACCGGCGTCACCACGGCGTCCCCACCGATCGAACGTTGTTATGTGGGTGTTTTATAGATTATTGGGAATGGTAAAATCACCGAAAGAAATAGATAAAATGACAGTTGAATGACCAACAATGACAACTGAAGACAATAGTTCGTCATTAGAAGTTATTTAGTATAACTTTATTCGGAAAATTAATCTCAAAATCGAGTTGCCGTCCCCGGCGTTGTCAGTGACGTAATATGATTTGTGTGCGATTTTTACCAATTAACCCCTAAGTGAAAAATAGTTTAGCCATGTAGTACCTTTGCAAATCAACCAGAAACCCGGTAGTTTGTTGATTGTTTATTGGTAGTTGCGTCCCCGGTGACATCGTGAGGGCATGGTGAAGGCTAGTTACGATTTGGTGGCACATCGATTGAGTATTTTCATTCATCTGGCCATGTAAGTCAGTGGCGTATCTGGATGTCACAGTCTTGAAATGGGGGGATCATGGGGGAGCGAAGGTGAAGTGGGGAAGGGGCGGATAATCAGTTGAGGGCGCTAATTCGTAAAATAAGGTGATTTTAGATGATTTTTAACTGACCGTGTCAGTATAATCTTAGCCAGGTAGGCATGTGGTTAACATAAGCAAGAATTTAGTTCAATGAAACTGTTTATCATCTTGATACCTTCCGACGAAATTGACTCTACCGGCGTCACCACGGCGGTCTGGGATATCATTCTTTTTTCTTTCTTTTTCCCCCTTTTTTTATCTCCCAAAATGGGGGGTTGGGGCCGGGCTGCCTCCCCCTCCCCCTTAAATCCGCCCCTGTATTTTTATATAAAAAAAATTTAAACTATATATTACATTTCTACTACAAAACAGGGCGTACAAAATGGAAAAATAGCAAATTCTCGTGGCTGGCCCTGACCCCCCCCCCTCTTCCTTAAATCCTAGATACACCACTGTTGCTGAAAACAATAGTTAATAGAAGTATATTTGCATTCGTTTAGTTGTTCATGTGAATGTCTAATAGGTTATTACTTTCAAATAATGCTAAAACACCCAGTGTCAATGCCAAGTTAGACACATGTACGACTAAGCTGAGTGACTCTGAGTTAGTAGTGGTTACGTAACGTTTGGCATGCACTTTATCATGCGCTATAGAAATGGAAGACCATAGCGTAATGGGAATGAACCTCTCTGGTAGGGCCTCTTTGTAGCCCCTTTTTGGAGGTAAAAAAAAGAAACAAAAAAAAAAAAAGAAAAAGAAAAAGAAAAAAATGATAGCCCAGAACGCCTCAAATGTTTTTTCGGGCGTCTAGAACACACAAATTTCGCGGGGGTATTCCCCCTGACTCCCTAGGACCTGTCTCTTATACACATCTAGATGTGTATAAGAGACAGCAATAGTTTGTCATTAGATGTTATTTAGTATAACTTTATTCGGAAAAGTAATCTCAAAATCGAGTTGCCGTCCCCGGAGTTGTCAGTGACGTCGTATGATTTGTGTGCAATTTTTACCAGAGGCCAATGAGACACCCTTGTGTTTTCCCATTACAGTAGGACACATTTTTTCTCAAGGTAGGCCCTATTGCGCAATACGCAAAGAATAATAGTAAGCCTAAATCACATGAAAAGGATAAACTACTGTATAAGTAATAAATAGACCTAGTATTATGATAAATGGTCTTCATAAAATAGAGACGTTAGGGGGTGACGTCGTAGGCCTACATCTATCTATCTCAATAACATTTACCTTCCCCCTAACAAGAAGTACCGTTTAGTGGTCTGTGTTAGTCTAATAAGTAATGAAGAGGTACGGTACGGTGCACTCTCAGACCCTAACTTTAAGGATGTAATTTTATTAGACAGGAGCTTTCGCTGGCACTAAAATACCAGCTTCATCGGGTTGTGTGTTACTCTATAACAAGGTAATAGAGTATTAATTTTAGATTTTACCAAATTGATTTGGTTAACAAAAAATTTAGAAAGACAAAAATCTGGCCATATGTTGACGTTAGTTGACGCAAGTTGACGTGGATTGTTGACGGTTTACCGAACATCGCATCACCGGTTGGGTTTGTTTGTTTGGGCAAGTTTGAGCTTGTTTTGGGCTTTTGTGGCTTAATTTGTACTGATGTTTCGATAGAACAGAATGGGTTGTACTGTTGTATTTTGTTCTGTTGGGTCTGGAAGCGTTTCTTATTTCTAATTAGGCTTCTTATTAATCTTTTATAACAAGGGAATTATCGGCGATTATTAGAGGGGTCCTATCTCGATGTGGCTAGAAAATAAAGTCCTACTAGGCCTACTACGGGCCGGCTGGCCTACCAGTAGTAGGCTTGGCCCGGCCCGGCCCCCCAGCCTAGCCTATTTACGTCGACCTCTACGTAGCTAAACTAAGTTCAAGGGCTACGCTAACGTTACATTACCAAGCAGGCATCAATCAACAAGAGGCCCGGGACTTGCAGGCTTAGAAAGAGGTCCAAGCTAAATGTAGGCCCTTATCAGTCATGCACAATTTGAGACAATTTTGCACAATTTACAAATTATGTAAACTTTTCCTTGCACAATTTGTAAAAAACTGCAAGGATTCCTTTGCACATTTTAAAAACTCTGCAAGATTCTGCACAGTTTGCAAACTATGCAAGCAGGTCATTGCTTAATTTTAAAATGCGTGGACAATTTTCAAACTGTTCATGGGTAGCTCATGCACATTTTAATCGATTTGCACTTTTTGATACTATTTTTTTCTTCTGTTTGTGAATAGGGGAAGTGGATATATTTACGTGACTGTTTACAAATCAGTGAACGATATATCTACGTGAAATAAATAACACATATGCGTGTCCCACACACACACATGGCCTGGCCTTGAGTCCTAGACCTAGGCTAGCATATCTTTTTTCATCAGAATATGCCGTACATATCGCAAAAAATACATTCTGTTAAATCAATATCTAATAATAGGTTATAATATCAATATCAGTAAATAAATTTAAATGGCACATATTATGATAAATGCTGAAAGACAACTTGTGCAGTTTGCATAATGTGTATACAGTTTAAAGCTACTTTGAAACAACATCAGCAACTCATAATGAGCAAAAGGAACAGATTGCGCACAACATGTCCATCCAAGGGAGGCATCAAGACTCGCCATATCTTTCATTATTCCAGGTTTAAAGTTACTGTTTCTATCTGACATAATTTTCATACCTCGTAACCTCATGTTGTATGCCTCCCTCCAATTAAAGACCACTTTTTGGACTGGGGTTTCCATGGTCTTTACAGGGGTCTGTGGCAGCTTGGGTCTCTTTCTTAAGCCCAATAAAAATAAATGATCAGTTTATCATCCCTGCCCGCATGTTTTCTATAGTATTGGAAAAAAAAAAAATTTTCTTGTTTTCTTTTTTTAGTATAGTTTGTATATTGCTTGTATTATCGCAATCATGTATTTTACTTTTGAATATTATGCACCAGCGAACAATTCAAGGGTGATATTTGGCTTCAGCAAAATAAAAATGAAAAATATAAATCCTCCCTCCCTCATCACTTTTCCAGCCTATAGGATGATAAACTAATCATTTTATAATTGGGCTTATTAATATTAGAATAATAAAAGTAAAAGACATTGTTAATTTGGGACCATAGAAAAGTGGTCTTTAATTGGAGGGTTCTTTAATTAGAGAGAGACCTGTATTTCATACTATAAAGTTTTTTAATTTGCCGGAGGATATCTAAAGAATTGGCTCAAATTTGTGCAGAAAATCGCTAGGAAAATGGGTGCGCGGAATTGTAATTTCCTGCATAATTGCATTGGTTATATGTTAAGATTTAGTCAGAGTCTAATTTTCGGCAAAATCTGCGCAGAAATCAGCCCTTATTTTCCAAAATGCGCGGATAAATTTCTAGGCCAAATTTTTGTGCGGATAGATATACAGTCTGGCCTTTATTTATATTTTTCCCATCTTTGCAGACTATTCCTTATTAATGTTTCTCACCAACTTGTTTGACTACAAGACCAATGGTGCTGCTAGAATATGAAAAGCACATGTTTCTAGACCTCTTCCATGAAGATGGGATTATAGTTACAGCAAGGTAAAATAAATTATCAAATGAAGTTATAAAATAGATAGATAGATAGATGAATTTAATTAATTAATTTACTACATATTAATGAATGTTTACAAGAATTAGCTATTGATTAATTAACTGTTTTTTAATTGGTTAATTAAATTAGTTAAATATTATGATTAAATAAATATTAAATTAATATAAATAAATAACAAATTTAAACTCTCAATTATGTTCTTACATCATTTGAGCTCATGTTCATTCTATTTAGATATATAATTTTTGTCATTTTTTGTATCGGAATTCAACTAATTGACCTCTGTACCTTTGTTCTCAAATTCTCTCAGATTCCTTTGTTTATGTTCTATCTGTACTATCAAATTTTATTTGACAAAAAAATGTTGTATGCCCATATATAGTCATGTGGCTATATATGGTTATGATGTGTCATCATCATGACTATATTTAGGCATGTTAAATGTTCTTGTCAAATCAAATTTGATAGTCTGGACATGACATTTGTTATTTTGTATTGTTTTTCAGAGGTTTGGGCATAGAAAGGCTTTTGCTACATTTTATTGAATTGCACTGTGATCCTGGCAACCTTGTACTTGTTCTCAACACAAGCAGCCAGGAGGAGGTTAGTCATAATTTTATGTGCATGATGCTGCAAACATCTTCATATAATACACACTGCCAGTTTTCTCACACTTAATGCACACCTAAGTCTTTTAACGTCTCGCGCCTACACTGCATTATCTCATGCATCGTAAAAATGTTTATAAAAAGATAATATTTAGAGACCGATTATACTTTAACTTTAAAAAAAATTGAAGTGAATTTGTCATTAAAATGTGAATACAGGCCATATAATTTCTTTTAACGAAGCTATACCAACCGAGGACTGCAATCCATAGCGGCCCCACTACAATTTAATAGAAAATAGTAGTGGTAGTAGTAAAACTATGTTTATTCATGAAGCACAAATCAAAAAAATACAATGCTGTTTTTCATTATGGCCGTGAGATACCTTATTTAAATTAACAAAATTACACATAATGGTACCGGTACATCATAAAAAAGCAAAAGATAAATGCAGAAGTTAAATAATATAGATACATAATTTAATTATTATACAGTACTGTACACAAAGTCAACGATTTAGTAAAATAAAAAATAGCATAGGAGGGCGCTCTATTTTGTGGTTATTACATAGAGGGTGCTATATATAATTTTTTTTTTGTGAGACACTAACAAAGTTGGCAGGTATATCATAACTATCTCCTTATCCATTTATCATAATCATCATAATTATCACCATCCTTATCTTCAATATACTAATAGACCTTTTCACTTAGCCCCACCCCTTGGATATTGTTGCTAAGGTCCCATGAATAGAATAACGTAAACGTGCGAATGCATTCCTGGTTCTGTTCTGCTTGGTCAGTTGTTAAGTTTGATTGACATTCTGGAAATCCCACAGTTCTTGGTTCATATCCTGTCAACCTTAAGGTGACAACACTCTCTAACCCTCATTATATAATAATTATTATCACCTATTTTTTAGACAGGCATGAGCAAACACACTAGCCTGATGGCCGAGACAAGTGTGTTTTTAGGATCTGGCAACAAGAATTTTAGGGACCCACTTGTGCGTGGACTAGCATTTTTAGAATAGGCTACATTACTATGTAATGCGTAATGCCAATACTTATGAAAAGTCCAACTCTTGGCAACACGCAGCCTATTTTATTAACAACTTGTCGGCGCACAAAGAGATATCAAACAGAAAACCGACTGGTTATGCACCGCTCTGCTTGCTGGGTTGTTGACCAAATTTTTGGCAACGTGACTCAAACATATTGCAATATGTTGACATTGAAAATGCTATGAGCATCATAAGTCGTAACTAAGTAAATATATTATTTATCATGTGTACTGTCTTATTATTTTTTCCATATTGTTTTATAGAATTATCTGGTTGAAGAATTGACAAGTAAAGAAGTAAAGCTATTGCCGAAAGTCATCAACAATGAATATAGCATAAAACAAAGGTAAGACGAAGTGCGTAACATGCAAGGTATATTTCTTAATTTTAGTTTATTTACATGTAAGAGTACATAAAACATAAAAACATTGGACATAAGTTTATCTGCTTATGTGCTGACAGTGACTTATCACTATCAAGTGGCATCTAATCCAGGCTGATGAAGAAAATATCATATGTAAAAAGGCCAAAACACATACCAGACCATTTTTTGTTTCCCAGACCTTGAAGATATAGCGTCGAATGTTTTTTATAACACTATTGGTGTGAACTCACTTACTACGCTTATTTTAGTTGTCAAAATGTTATTTATTGTGGGTACGCATGTAGGGTCAGTTTACACAGCTGTGTCGTGGAGTTCAAGTACCATAGAACTCAAATAAGACCACTTCTAAAGGGATCGCATCCTTTTATGAACCATTATGTTTTTTGTATCAGTGGAAAATAACCTGTCTTTTTACACAAACAATCATAAGACCATTCTATTAAGGGACCACATTGTCTTGATAAAACAAAAATTGAGTTATCAAATAGTTTTTTACTCCTAGGCTCAGTATTTTCTTTCCAAGTTGCTATACTGATTCTCAGTTTTGTGAATCTTAGATTTGTTATTCTCCTTCAGACAAGCTGTTTACCTAGAGGGCGGAGTTCTGTTCATCACTTCACGTATCCTGGTCGTAGATCTCTTGACTGACCGTATCCCTGCTCATCTAATTTCTGGTATTCTTATCTCAAAAGCACATAGGTAAGTAGAAGATGAGGTTGAATTATTTGTTTTCACATCCAGCAGCAAGTACACTTCCCCAATACAGTATATAGACATTGTTTTCAGACCAACAAAAGAACTGTCAATTTTCAAACTGGCCTGCGAACATGAAAGCAATGAGGACATGTGCGGTGATTCCTTTAATAAATCAAATGCTGATTGGTTGAATTCGATCTCATGAATTAATTTGTCATGTTAAACTAGGTTAATCATGATGAATTCGATCTCATGAATTGATTTGTTATGTTAAACTAGGTTAATCATGAGGCCTCAACATGCTCCACTAGTTCACAATAGGGTGATTAAGCTGAGCATATTATTTGATTCTAGTAGGTTAACATAAAATGACTGGCTTGATGTTGGTCCCCTGGATCTGAACTCTGAATGTGAACCTAGCTAAGGCCAAATAAAAAAAATTATTGTGTTGGTCACGTCACCCAAAATGTATGAAATTGCGGTTCGGTATTAATTTTTTTTTATATGGCGAAAAATATTTTTTTTAACTGAGATAAAAAGGCTCTTCAATGTAGATTGTTGTATTTTTGTGTATTTTCTACTTTTTAGGCATAAACACATTATTGGTAATTACAAACAAAAAATAAAAAAAATTCTTCCGACATACCCATTTTTTGGATTTACTCAAAACGTGGCCAACACAAGAATTTTTTTTTTTTTTTTTTGCCTAATTGGAAGTCTCCTTCAGACCAATGGCTTTATTTTAGTGGTCTTCATTGAGGGTAACCGAATGCTGATCTCATGAATTAATAGGTCATTTTAAACTCGGTTAATCATGATGCCTCAACATACTCCACTAGTTCACAATAGGGTGATTAAGCCGGGAATGTAATTTGAGTCAGAGAGGCTTCACATAAAATGACTGGCTTGATCATGATATCCTGGATCTGGACTCTGAATGTGAACCTACAGTAGCTAATCAGAAGTCTCCTTCAGACCAATGGCTTTATTTAAGTCTTCTTTCAGGGACAAAATGGTTTCCCAAATCAGAATATTACATAAACCTGGCCTGTATTTTAAAACAGTTCATAGAACTCTATATACATTGGGTCAGACTCATGTAAACAAGCCAGTTCCTTTTTCTGAATCAGATCAAGGAGGTATAATATAGAAAAAAATAAATCCTTGTGTAATGACTTTGCTCAGTATTTTTGTAATAAGATTGTTAAAATCAGGACTAACCTGGATGGGATGGTCCAATCAATGTTAGTGGTGTTTACCAGGAGTCATCTAACGACTCCGATTTAGGTACAAATAATTTGTCAACACGCGCAGCGGAACCGGTATGGCAGATACGGCGACTGCTGTACCAATATTTTGACATGATTGTTTTCAGATACAGGCCTATTTGTTTTGTAATCCAAGATTTAATTGTATTTCATCTTAGTCCTACTTAAAAAGAAATTAAGAACTTGAGTGCTAATTCCGAGCATCTAGACGTGTAAATCTTATAAAAATTTTCCAACCGACTCTGACGCTGTACCAATCAATTAATGCTTCCACTGCCCCTGCAACACTGAGTAGTTTTCCTGTTGACTAAAAATAATCCTAAAACCCTACAAGTGTTGCAAAATTGAGCAGTATGTCTCGTTTTTGAGGCATCTAAGTGCACTGATACAGCTCCTCTTTTTGGAAAATTGAAATGGCTTCCAGTGGAGAAGCATTTTAGGTCTTCAGTTTTTATCTACCTTTGTTAATAATAGTGCACCTTCGTATCTTTAAAAATGTTTTTAATTTGATATGAGCCTGGAAGGACTGGTCTCAGATCCTCCAGGGATGTTACATTACTTCATATTCCTTCCATGTACTTATACAACTATTGGTGATAAATCTTTTTCTAAATTTAGACCACACTTTTGGAACATTTGCCCTGTCATTCATCTTCAATGTAATCTTGGTTCATCTAAAAACAAATTTAAAAGTTACTTACAAATGTAACATCACTGGATTTGACTTGGAGATTAACCTGGCTGTTTTGTGTTTTACAACAGTTCCCTTTATGATGTGCTTTTGTTTGTTTGGTCTGTGCTTTTGTAATTTTGCTGAGATGTTAAAGTGCACAGTAAATGATATAAAAAAAAAATTATTTTAATATTTTACTGCTTTTCTCTTAAATTATATGATGCTTTTTTATTAAATGTTTAATATGTAATTTTTATAGTATATATTTTTGTGTGAGGGTGTAGCTACATGTAACTCTGAGTTACAGTCAAACATTTGATTAAGCTGCTCCTGACCATGTTTTGTATTTATATGTTGTATTTGTATGTCAAATAAATAAATGAAATAAAGTGAAATTATTTCCAGTTATCGAGGTTACTAAAGTAATATACGCTATAAAAAAATTTAGTTCCAGTCGGGTAATTCTATTCCAGCGACCCTCCCTGTTGTCCAAAAATATAGATTTTCTTATCCAAATAAGATTAATTTTATTGCCAATCTCTAATATTGTAGTTTAAGTGCACTATTTGGGTCATACTAAACCATAAACTCTCCCTGTGAAACTTACCAGGGATTTGTACTGTATTCTGACCGAACCCTGACCGAGGCTCTAGTTGGCCCCTTGGTTTGGACCCCCGTCAAACATGTCGGACCCCCCTGTCTGCAAATTTCTAGAGCCACCGCTGCCCATGTATTCATACAACAGAAGGGTTAACCAATGAATTAAAAAGGACTGTGGAGGAAGTAACACTGGATTTTAGCTTTAATTTTAATATAATTTAATGGAAAATTAATATTAATTTTTACCAATTTTTTATATTTGTTTCATAGAGTTCTCAATACGTATCAAGAAGCTTTTATTTTACGGTTATACCGTGAGAAGAACAAGACTGGATTCATCAAGGCTTTCTCCGATCAACCTCAGGCGTTCTCATCCAGTTTCTGCCAGATTGACCATTTGATGAAAATCTTGTTTGTGCGCAAACTTCATCTTTGGCCTCGGTTCCATGCATCTGTCAATGCGTTTCTCGAAAAACATCAGGTATTTTTATTTTTGCAGATATTTTTTATTCTAGCCTTTAAATGATACTAAGAATATTATATATTTAATGCTTGCGGTACACGATGTAGATAATTTTGCAAAGAACAGTTTTGTTTGTTGAGAATGTCTTGACGTTTCAATTGAGTTGCTAAAAATTATGTTTAGGAGAATATTATATCTGCAGAGAATCCAAACAGGAAAATACTTATATGTTTGGATAGTGAAACTTGTTGCTGATTGGTGGAAAACTAAACATATAACTGAGACTATATGTGAAAAGTCTAATACAGAAGCCAGTATTCGCAGTTTCTGAATGAGGGTGGAGCGTGGCTAGAAAGCCAAAGACAGTGGCATTGTTTCTAGCTTAGTGAAAGGATAGCCAAAACAATGGCATGGTTTCAAGTGTGCGGGGAAGTGTGCTGCTTTGAAGAATATTATAATTAATATATTACAAATTGTTGGTGGCAATTATACTTATTTTTTTTGTTACCGCGAAGATATCGCACACTGTGATGAACCCTAATACACTAAACAAACTGAACGTTTAATAGGAATATTATAGATCTATTTTAAAGACTCAAGGAACAAAATTAGATGTAGGCCTACGGTGAGGTAGGAGGCTGCTGAGGCCTTCTCCTACTACTAGCCTAGGCTGTAGCCCAGCATAGTTATGAAATCATCCCACGATTTTTACCTGTCTGCACCAATCAAAAAGTTAGTGACTGTGTGTCTCTCAAATGCTTTAAAAAATGTTTATTTCTTTGACAAATGTGAAACATTACGAACAAGTTCTTCAAACACAACACAACTTACAGAATAGTTTTTCATCGTATCCGTACTGTACTGCTGATGTGTAGGTAACACGTTCTGCAGGAGTACAAATCAGCATATGCACAGCTAAATGTATACTGATCATATCACTATAGCAAAGGATGACAGCTACAACATCAAAACTAACATTAAAAGACGGCGATTGACTTATAAAGCAATTAGTAGAACATGCATTGTACACTAGCGGGAAATTATAGATTTAATGCATTCAAAAATTTTTTCAAGCATTAAATCTAACTTTCGTATAACAATTTTGCTATGGTGTACTATGCTGAGCTCTACTAATTGCTTAATAGTGTGAACACACCTTTAGGTCTTGTCCAGACTATCAAATTTTATTTGACAAAAACATGTGACGTGCCTAAATATGGTCATAATGACATCATATCATAAATAGGCATATCATAACCATGATGTGCCTATATATGGTTATAATGACATCACATCAGAAACATATATACGCACATCATGACTATATATGGGAATACAACAGTTTCCTGTCAATAAAAAATTTGATAGTTTGGACAGATCTTTAAAGATGTTGTAATATTTTTCAGCCTGATGTTGTGGAGCTGCAGTTGAGTATGACACCACGGATGCAAGCCATTCAAACGTCAATTCTCGACATCATTAGTGCCTGCTTACAAGAGATAAAAAGATATAATCCAATGGTAAATTATATTAAATCTATATTTTATTTAAGATATACTGTCAACTAAATTTAATGTTTAATTTTTAATTATGATTGCTTGATTTTTATATTTCAATACGTTATTAGCTGTCTACTCAGAGTTAGAAGAACATTTTTTTCTGGCAATTTAACATACACATTTATATGGTTGTTTTAAATGATTCAAATTTTAATTTTGAAGCTGGAAAGAGCTTTTGTTTGTTTACCAAATTTTGTTCATCTTATAATTAGTTAGGAATACAATATGTATGTTTGTGTATCTATGGATATAAAGTCTGTAAAAGATTGAAATGAAAATATATGTAGTTTCGTAGTTTAATATAAACAAATCAAATTAATTATTTTTTAGTTGGATGCAGATGCCTTTTGTGTTGAGAAGATTATTGGCAGGAAAAGCCTTGATAAGCTCATCAAATATCAGCTAGACCCTGTGTGGCATCAGTTGGTAAATTCAAATATATTTTATATGATTATTATGAAAATATGAGTCTATTTCGTGAATACATAGCAAAATGAACTTCTGACTAGAAATGAAGATATAAATCAAGGATGTGTTGTTTCAATCTTCTTGTAAAAATAATATCAATTAAATTCCAATGAATAAAAACAATTCATGAAATCTTCTTGTAGCGAAGAAACTTTTCGAAAAAAAAACACAATCTCTTGAAAATACATTTGGCGTAGATTAAATCAATGCTCAGTCACAAAGAGAGCTCCTTAATCGTAAACCATTAAATAGAGAATGAGGACTATTGTTATGGTGACAGTTTGAACGTGGCGCCCTGGGTTGGACTGTTCTATTTCAGTTGAAGGGGCGTTACATTTCAGGAAGAAAGGCAATTAGTAAGTTTATCCAAGTAAGTATCCCACTCATAGACTACCAACGTCATGATTGATTTGAGTAACTTAGTGTATAATAACACTTATTTAGACTCATTGTTTAAATAATTAATAATATAATTTTTATTGTTAGGCCCTCTCTTAAATTACTGTATGGATGGACAGATTATTTGATTGATTGACTAACTAGATTGATACAAGAAAATTCTTTTTTTTTTCTTTATTTTAATCAAATACATGAGAATTGGTCATATACAAAATACTATATGAATAGTGAACACTTGTCTTTTGTAAAATAACAACTGAGTCGTAATTTTCCCATTGGAGATAGCATGTTCCATTTTCAATGATTGATTGATTGATGTTGATATTTCAGACAAATAAAACAAGGCAATTGGTAGCTGATTTGAAACTCCTTTGCCTACTACTTCAGTTTTTGGTTCAATATGATTGCATCACCTTCTACAACTACTTGAACACATTCAGGTAAAATGCTTTACACACACATGTTTGATATGTATTATCATAAAATAACAAGTGATAGGCCTATGTATAATTTATTTTTAATATGTTAATTATATTAACAGTTTTCAATCGTCTAATGAACTTAAATAGCTGGTCGAGTTGGCTTTAACCTGGCATCCCATGCTAAAAATTAAACTTATGTCTATTAAACACCTTCAAATGGAATGCATGCACAAAATCCTGTTGACCAAACCCAGTACTGTTTCAATTATAATCGTGCAGGAACTAAATTTTAACCATGCAACATTAAAATAATGTTGATAATAACATGCTATCATAATCAAATATAATGTCAGTCTGCATATCATATAGTATAATGGTCCAATTAACTGAAAATTCAGTGTTTTTAATTGTTTATTTATGTTTCTCTGGTATTATAGTCAACTATAATACCTCCATGGTACTAGCCTACAATGTAAATATTAGCCGACTATATCTTGAAAGATGCCCATATTATCTTAATTAGAAGCCCATGGGCTTCCTTTTGAGATGTGTTTCTTTTCAAGAGTACTTTTGCAAATTAAATAGTTGTTGGGGTGGGGGTGGCTTCTTTTCAAGATGGGCTTCTTCTCGAGATTAGGCCTACTGGCTTGTATTCAAGGTTTTAAGGATATTGTGAATGCTTTTTTTTGGATAATAGGTCGAACGAGAAAAAGTTTGGACAGAACTCTGGTTGGCTTTTCTTAGATGCATCTAATACAATGTTTCAGGTATGAAGTATTAATTACTAAAGCAACTCGGGTATAAGCCCCACCCTCTTTACTACTATTAATTAATCCCCTGTTTAGTTACTAAGGCTACGTTCACACCTGAGAGATACGCCAGGCGTATCTAACGTCGGGCGTTCGTTAATCAAATGCGTAACTAGCGAGAACTCTAGCGTAAGTATTCGTTTGAAATACTGTATTTGTATTCGTAATTCGCACATTTTATTTCCTGTTTACATCTAGGCTTATTTTGATTGGTCAAAATCACTGAAAACTTAAAACTCTTTAATGCAGTATGTTGTATTATTTATGCAATCAAATGTCTTTATATACCCCAGAATGCAAGAGACCGAATTTTTGGCTCATCAAAGAACAAGAAACAAAAAACAGAAGAGGGAGAGAAAAAAGAGAAAGTAAACGAAACCAATTCCGAAGGTACTGTTTTTACCAAAAATTTCTGTGTAATTTTAGTTACCATTAGCACTCCTGTCATGAACAGAGGGGGCCCAGGGAGGGACATTCACAGAGAGGGGATCCAGGCTAGCTCCTAGTCACACCATGGTTTTTTGGCTGGGTGATACAATTTTGGTTTGGGCAGTGGAAATGGTTTGGTTTCCCAACCTCGAGGTCGAGGTTTCATTCTTCTGCTGTGAATTTTCTCTTCCGCTTCATGCCACAGAAACTTGGGATAAACTCCATCCCCAGTGGACCCTAGTGGCTTAGCAAGGATTTACTTTACCTCCAGGTGGCCGGAAATGAGAGCTTGAAAGTGGTTGGGAAACTAGGCCACCACCTTCTGCCTAAATCTTTTCTTCAAAAGTTGAATTTGTTGAATGGCCAAGCGGTTAAGACAGGGACGCAGCAACGTACAGCCATAATATCGGCATTGGTTCAAGCGGCAAGCTCGCCTATGTTTCTGGTGGTGGAACAAGTGTTCTCGGAAAGGACTATAAACTGTAGGCCCAGTGTACACAATAGGCTCATGTGCCCTTTAAAGAACCCAGTACATCTGTTACCCTGCAGTTATGGATCATTAGGTACTTTGCAGGATGTATCTACGTAAGCGTAAACGTAAAATGTGATAAATAACGATAGAATCAAAATGTATAGCTAAATTCAATATTTTATTTGCTTACTTTGTTTTATGTAAGTTATTACTAGTGCTTTATTTTTCAGATTTGGAGCTTGAACCATGTCCGAAATGGCAGTTGTTGTTCGACACACTGAATGAAATCAAAGAAGATAGTAAGACCACAGGTGAACATTTTAAATAGAATTTGTCACCAATAAACGTCTGTAGTCACAACATTCTATAGGGACAGGGGTTTGTGAGATTATCCATGAGTATTAGTAACACAGCCTTGTGCAAACAAATTTAAGTCTCCCTCACAATGTTTTCATTTGTTTTGTTTTTTTTTGTAATATTTTTTTATAGTTAAAATATGGTCATTATTATGTGTTTCATTTTATTTCATTTGTTTATTCTTTAGAACACAAGAAAGAAATATACAGAACAATAAACAAACTAGTAGTGACTATTTATACTCCTGGATGGAGAGAGAAATGTTTATTAAAGTGCCTTGCCCAATGACACAAGTAATGCGATGAGTGTTCAATGTGAGAAGTGGTCTCACGATCAGAAGTTCAACACTTTACACGCTCCTACAAACATTGTGCTCACTGTTTTCAAATGGCTTTATCTTTCAGGTCAACCAAGCCGTGTGTTGATCTGTGCATCCGATGATAGAACTTGCTCACAGTTAAGAGATTTTCTATGCGATGGTGCTACACCGTTATTATTAAAATTATTCAATAAACATTTCCAATCTAAAACGTCAGAGACAGATAATGAAGAAAGTGCCGTAAGTGTGAGTAAATATTAATCACTTGTTCTGTGTTTGTACAACAAATTAAATAATAATAAATAAGATGATAATGCAATAAATGATAATGATGAGTATGGCCGCAGCAGCGACATTGACAATGACGATAGTGGATGATGATGAGTATGGCTGCTGATGACTGGACGATGGAGATTCTTGGATACCGTGAAGCTTCTCTCCATGTGGAATATCGGTTACAGTGCATCATCTTTTGGGAGAGACGTTTAAGAGAGGTGTATCCACAAATATAAATATCAGTAGTAATTATAATATGTTCAACTTTAAATAGCCAACTTCATGCCCACAAGGCCTTTAAGCTTTTTCCCTGTCATTGGGTCAAGCACATATTAAAAAATTCCATAAATTTGCAGCTGTAGTCAGCGCACCTTGTGTACCTACCTACCAGGTACTCACTTGTACTCCTGGGTGGCGAGAGACAACCGTAAGTAAAGTGCCTTGCCTGAGGACACATGTGAGTGCACAGCGAAGAATTGAACTGCCGACCTCAAGGTTGAAAGCAGAACCGTAACCGCTACCCCAACCCACTTCTATGATGATATGATATTACAATATTGATAATGAATTCCGAGAAATTTATATTCCAGAACAATAAAAGGAAAAAAGATAAAAAGTCAAAAACTGTTGAGAATCCTAAGAAGGGAGATGTGCTTACATTAACCCAGATGATGGGAGGGACAACCGACAATGCTGACAATGACCAGTCGCCTGTAGACATTGAAGTGACATCATTCGATGCATATTATGGAATATTAACAGCTCCATCTACTGTTATTCATCCACTTCATGGAAATGAGTGAGTTTTTAAAAAAAAAATAGATATTTTGAGGCTAAGACTAATGTCAAGTAAAACATCATTTATTTACTGTCTAATTTTTTTTTGACAATACATTCATGTTGTTACATAGTTGATTAAGCCTTTTCAGGGTCATTATTGACATTGTTTTATATTGTTTATTTTTAGCCATTCCGACCATCTTAACATTATAGATTTAGTGTCAATGGTAGTGGTAATAACAGTAAGTACATAAACAAATTTTATTACTCACCTACTGTACTATTTAAAAAGGGAAAACACACTCCCTTGTTATGATACGAATCCAGAGAGGTGAACAGGGCTCCGGGGAATGGAGCCGAAATATCCTAAATAGTGCAGTAGGTGAGTAATAAAATTTGTTTATGTACTTATTGTTATTACCACTACCACTGACACTAAATCTATAACGTTAAGAGGGTCGGAATGGCTAAAAATAAATAATATAAAACAATATATATTTTTTATTAATCTGTTTGTCACAGAGACCCCCATAATTTAACCAGGACATTAAAAGAACTTCAACCAACATATGTGATTTTGTATGACGCAGAGATTCAGTTTGTTCGCCAATTAGAAGTGAGTAATTACTATTCAAACTTATAAATTTTACATCAACTTTTGAGATATACTTATATATGGCTTGTTGGTGCAGTCATTGCGTTTCTGTCTCTGAACCTGGAGTTTGGGGCTCGAAATCTTTGCTGTGCATTTCACTTGTGTTTTTGGACAAGGCACTTTTCCTACGTTTGTCTCTCTCAAAAGTGTCCTTTTTTTATTAGTGTCCTTTTTTTTAATTGTAGATACCATTTCCTGTTGTTCTTCCTTTTGGCAATTAAATGTTTCGTTTTGCAGGATCCCAATGGAAATACGTTTCTTTGAAACCTTTTTGGGCTATTCCTTGCTTTCAGAGTTTTCAATTGTATTTGTTTTTCCTTTTCTTGTCTTCATTGTTTTTGTATTTTACTCTGATTGCTAAATAAATTCAAATCACTCCACACCGGAGCTTAAATGGGTACCCGGTGGTTCACTATTTGGGAGGAAAAAGGCAGCGTGGAAATGAACTGGCCACCCTATAACACAATGCCGAGGCTTAGTACGATGGGCTAACAGCTCATTCCTCTACGTTCCATAATGAATACGGGACTACCTTTAAGGGTTGTTTGGAATGTGGCTAGAATTTTAAGAATATGTTAAACTAAATGATTTTAAAAATCTTTTAGTTATTTTCCTCTAACAATGTGTGAATGTTCCCTTAATAATAAAGACTAATAACACAGCACTTATAATGCGCCATCTATCTAGTGTCCATTCCAAGGCGCAGTGACTCTTGATGAAAAGAAAATTGTTTATATTTTTAATACATTGATTTCTGGATCCATCCCTGCCATACTTATCCCTTAGTTGTCTGTGAACAGAACCGTGGCTTGATTCATGATTTAATGGACCTTTCTGGAGTGTAGAACAAGATTAACAACTGACCCATCAGGATGTGTTATAGGTAGGACCAGGAATACGCACATGTCCCAGAAACATTCAAGTTTATTTATGCAGTTGTTTTTTTGGACCGGGCTTGGGATTATCAAAATGGTCTATTGTGCTCTGTAGTCTGTAATTTTTTTTTAGCTGATGACCTGTTTGTTCTAGCTCAGGCTCAGGATTTATCAATCTCAGCTTAGCAAATGAGTTAAAAAAAAAAAGTTAAAATGTCACTAAGCAAATAACTTAAGCTGATTTAAGCAAAATCTTATCTTAAAAATCGTGTTAGATGGCGCATGTGTACGATTGACTTAATTTTAAGCAACTTTTAAGCTAAGCAATATTGATAAATCTGACTTAAGCAAGAAAATAGACTTAAGAAGAATTTAAGCTGATTTCTAGTTTGATAAATCTGGCTCCTGGTTCCTTTTGCATTCTTTTTTACTTCTTTCAGTGTTCCTTGATTGAGGCCTATTTTTGTCGTTGTTGATGCTGTGAGAGTCCTAAATTCTCAACTATGCCGAATCAATCTTGCCCTGTATTATAGATTAAAATGGTTAACTAATAAACAAATGTAATTGAATTATTTTTTTTTCAGATTTATAAAGCATGTAGGCCAAGTGTACCACTTCGTGTTTACTTTCTTATGTATACTGGGTCAACAGAGGAGCAGCGATATTTAACTACTTTGCAACAAGAAAAAGACGCATTTGAACACTTAATACGAGAAAAGGCTGTAAGCATTTATTTCTATATTACTGAAACAATCAGGAGCAGATCCAAGAATCTTCATTGTTGGGGGTGGGGGCTTTCTAAAAATTATAGATGGTTTGAGTCCGCACGTTCCTCAGCATTATCATGGCTGAAGTACAAAAAAGAAGCCTGTGTAGCCCCCCTCTAAATCTGACCATGATACTTGTGCAAAAAAGAGGCCTGTCTAGCCTCCTTTAAATCCACCCCTGATACTTGTGCAGAGAAAACAGGAAAGAAATTCTAGACGGAATTAATTTAGCTTCCACTACATTTAAAGGGTCATTTATCTGATAGTTTACTGTTTAGTACAGTATTGGGAGCAGTGGCATATCTGGGGGTGTGGCCCCCAAATACTCACACCCCCAGTTGGCTCCCTAAAAAGAAATCATGTTGTTAAAAATCACCTGAAGTCACCTTATTTTGCAACCTAGCACCCCCCTCACCAAATCATCGAGCACAACTTTATTGTCAGATGAACACTCTGGACTGTTGCTTTTTATTGTACTACAAACTAAATTTTGTTCTCTTATGATTCATGTAGACAATGGTTATTCCAGAAGAGGTTGAGGGGAAAGGTGAAATTGCACCCCAGTTAGAACGTGCACAATCAACAGAGCAGACAAGTTCTAGGAAAGGCGGCCAAACTTCACATGTACAACAGAAGGTATCATCATCATCATCATCCTATAATGTGCATAAACCTCAAATGAGTATATTTGCATAATTTACAATTAAATTGATAAAAGCCACTGGATTTACATTAACAAATTTTCACTTCTCGAGTCTTAGAAACAGACTTGATTATACAACATTGATGGTTCCAAAGTTATTGTCATTGCTTTGTTCGTGGAAAAATATTTAAAAATTATAATAAAACTCTGAATTGGTCTTTTAAAAGAACAACAGTTTCCAAAAGCCACAGATCAAAAAAAGTAAAAAAAAAAGAATCATATTTCTGTATATTCTCTGGCAAGAATTCATAAGGGAGCATGCAGGGATCCTGACAAGCATCCTGTGCCCCCTGGACCCCAGCTTGTGTCGCTACTGGACTTGTGTTGAAAAATATAGTAATTAAATGGACCAGTACACTGGGGTAACCCTTACTTGTCTCGAAAGATGTACTGGGTTCTTTAAAAGTACACATGAGCCAAATTATGTACACTGGGCCTACGGTTTATAGTCCGACGAGAAGACTTGTTCCACCACCAGAACAATAGGCAATCGTGCCGTTCTAACCTGCGCTGATATTATAGCTGTACACATATTTTTGCCATTGTTAGAGATTGAACATTTCTGTCGAGTTTAAACATCCTAAATCTGAAAGTAACCCCCAATAATTCATATCATATAGGTGATAGTTGATATGCGGGAATTTCGGAGTGAACTACCTTCACTATTGTACAAGAGAGGAATTGATATTGTACCTGTTACTATTGAGGTCGGTGATTACATATTAACCCCTGACATTTGTGTTGAACGTAAAAGTGTGAGCGATTTGATTGGTTCACTGAAGAGTGGTCGACTTTATAACCAGGTTGTGGCGATGACACGATATTATAAGAGACCAGTTTTACTTGTTGAGTTTGACCCCAACAAGTCTTTCTCATTACAGGTAATTTATATGTTTTCTCAATTCATCACTACCATTTTAAAATCTTTTTTTTTTTTTTTTTTTTTTTTTTATTTCTCTGTATACTCATTTTTGAAGTTAGCTCATGAATACAATATTGAATTATCACAGATGTAAGAATTTAATTGGTAAAAGCCACTGGATTTACATTAACAAAAAAAACTTCACTTCCCAAGTCTTAGAAACAGACTTGGTTATATAACCTTGATTGATGGTCCAAAAGTTATCGTCATTATTTTTTGGGGGGGAAAAACACTTTAGAAATTATAATAAAACTCTGAATTGGTCTTAAAAAATCATAAATTTTCAAGCCACAGATAAAAAAAAATGTAAAAATTATATTTCTGTAAGATACCTTTTACATTTCAATGACTACACTTACATTCTTAACTACTATACATTTTTCATCAATAAAATTATTTTTCACCCTCCATCCTAAAATAATTGTAATAATACTCTCTTGAAATTTCTAGTTACATAGAAAGTCGTCACCACTTGTACGATAAGTCTCATTTTTTTAACTTTTCCGAATTATTCCTTCTAATAGACTAGAACCACCATGACATCTGAAACCACATATCAGAATATCTCTTCCAAGCTGGCTTTGTTAACATTGCATTTTCCTGCTTTACGGATTCTGTGGTGCCCTAGTCCACATGGAACAGCAGAGTTGTTTGCCGAACTTAAGGTACTTATGATTATTTTATTTAAAAAAACAAATTTTTATGAACAACAATCAAGAATATACCAATAGCAACATTTTTTTTTCTAAGCTAATTGATAGGATATTTTGTTGGCCTTAGGTTAATCGTTTGCAACCTGATGTAGACACTGCGTTAGCTGTGACGACTCAAACTGACACAGACTCACAGGATGCCTACAATCACACACCCTATGATATGCTTCTTAAGATGCCAGGAATCAACACCAAGAACTGCTGGTATGTATAATAATTTTTTTTCTAACTTCTGATTTCATCCAACAGACAGGCAGTTTGAAAATATCAGAATAAAACACTTCATTGATTACTTTGTCAGAAGTAATCATTGGAAGCCACAGGTTTACCTTTGACCTTTCTCATGAATTTTCGTGTGCATCTGTGTTTCTGTAGACAAGGTTTGTAAATACAACTCAAGAATCTTACAGAATGCATGTCATATAATTAATGCTAGTCATGTAGTTGTGAATAAGGTCTTCAAATTCAAACATTGAACTCGTACAGGATAAAACTGTGGAGGTATAGTTTCGTTTTTGCCAGAACTTTGTATTAAAAATGCTACGCCTGCCAACACTCACGCATAGTTTATAAAAGATAAAATGTATAGTCTGATCAAAACATAACCCTGACGCAAAGGCAGATTTCCCAGACAACAGAGAAAGTGGACCTGCATCGTAATCACAGCCTACGTAGTCTGGTTACTCATTATAATTATTACATTATTGTTAAATAGTATTTTAAATGATTATTAATTTATGTAAGATCATTTTTGTGTTATCCTCAGAATTATGCTTTATCATGTTTTGTGTATTATATTGTTGTATATTTTATATGAGTTTCAAATATAGTCAATGAATCAAGCAATGAATGAATGAATCAATCAATCAATACTTTATAAGTGTAATAATAAGAGTATTTTTATATGCGGTAGTATCAAAATCTGTTTTTCATTATGATAGTATATTAATGTATCATTCCTTTGTAAATATATTTCAGGAAATTACTGAAGACTGTGGATGACCTATCAAAAATCTGCAGTATGTCTATCGAAGAGTTGAACACATTGCTAGGAAGTGGCGCACATGCGAAGTTGTTACACGACTTCTTGCATACGACACAAGCACAAGGAACAACGACATCAGATGTTAAAAAACCAAGTCGTAGGCCGGTGAAAACCAAGTTAAAGAAATAGCGGTGGTCAACTAGCTTAACATGGCAGTTCCTCATGTACATGTCACTTACTCTGTACAGGCACGGTCAGTTGCAAAAAGTTTATCTCCACTATCCGAGAGCGTTTAACTACACCATGCCGCCTGATTATTTATGGTTGCAGCAGAGTGGATTTTCACTAAAAAACATATGTAGGCGCTGTTTGTCGAGTTGCGTTATTCATGAAGTCGATATAGTGAGAATACTGCATTTTTACTGAATCATTAGGTGTATATCGGTATCAGGCATAGAACACTATTGTGTTGGCTAGAAAAATTTTTTGCATTGAACACTTCGTGGCAAGTTGTTTAGAATAATAATGTTGTGATGAACATCAATGAATAGACAAAAATATACAAACTGATAGATTGAAACTACTTAATAAATGTTTTAAAGCATCAGCAATTATAGTAAAAATCTTTATTAAAATGTGTTCGTTTTTCTGATTATTATAAACTCAATGCATCACCGACCACATACAGGGGCGGATCCAGGATTTTTCAAATGGGGGGTGGGGGGCATTATGTATAGTACTCATAATTTATTTAAAAACAAATCTGCGGGTGAACACATGCAACGCATGTCTCAACCCAGTAAATCTAGCATAGACCAGGGGTAAAAGGGCCGGCCACTGCTGCCAGGTCCAGCCCATCACCCCCCCCCCCAAATCCGCACATGCAAATAACGAAGTAGTCGAGCTTGCCAAAAATTTTGACAATATAGGGGTTTCAAAGGCTTATTTATTCTTCCATCATCAAAACAACAGAACCGCTGATGTTTTTCAGGAGCTTTGTTCACTGAGCATTGGGTTCCTTTTGACATCAGTCACAAGACCATACCTGCGTTACTTGTTTCGCTCGCTCTGGAGGTAGGCTTATTATAAAAGATTACATCACCATAATAATAAAACCACTCAATTTTGTTTTTACCACTACACCGACCCATATCACTGGCATTGTCTCGCATCATACGCATTAGTCATCACTCAAACCTTAAGTTGCCTATTTCATAATTACCATCACCACCACTACCGTCATTTATTACCATCACCACCAACATCATCATTATCGTTTTTATTCTCATTTTCATGATTTCATACACACACAGGATAAGACTCCTAGTGCGCCTCCTTCGTCACAAAGCCTTGTTTCCATTAAAATCGCTACACGCTGTCGCCGACTCGTTTGGCGACGCTGATTGGTCTGTTGAATCAGGAGCGTTGCAGATCGCGCCGGGGCCCAGCCTAGGCCTACGCAGTGCAAGGATTGCAGAGAAAACCTGTAGCGACTGTGTAGTGTTGTAAGGAAACTGAGCTTTAGTCATAATTTTTACACACTGATTAATATCAAAGATCAATTAATTCCTTGTGTTAGTAGATCAACTGAATTAACAACATAGTCTACCAAGAATAATATTTAAGTTTAGGTTTTCCTTTATTGCTATGTAAATAAATACAGTATATTGTAGATAAATTTATTTTTCGAAGGTTGAAAAACAGAGTGAATATGTTAAATTTTATAGTTTTGCAAAATTGCCAAAAGGAAGGCTTTAATAATAGGCCTATCCTATAGGCTAGTTCCAATTTTTATTTTATTCGAAAATCAAATAACTTACTTGAACCTACTACACAAAGTAAGCAATATATTTCTACCCCGATAGAATACTTAACTTTGGCTTTCATTTTCTTTTAACTTTACTAATTGGTTTATCTGTTCGGTCTATCGAATTCGATCAAGTTTACTACCAAGAATTTTGGGTCTTGCCGAGGCAAAACACATATAGGCCTACACTTGCGATGTTTAAAAAGTCATTGAAGCTATCTTGTCGGCGGGCACAATTGTTCTTTAGAACACGTTCTGACAATGAAATGCTTCAACTGTCGAATCCCTTCATTACTTTTTGCCGATGTTGCTATAAGCGGAATAGTTCCATGCTCAACGAGCCTAAGATCAGCTTCAGCGTAAGTTATCTCTTTGTTAGATTCCAAATCTATTTTTGAGTAAACTGCAACGATTTTGGCATCTTCTGATTTCAGCACATCAACTTCGGTCTCCCGTTTCTGAAGAATTTCTTCGAACGATCTGGCGCTGTCGCACGAGAATACGAGAATGATTAAGTCGGCTGTTTTTATGTAGGTATTCATCATATAATCCGAACTACCAGATGTGTCAATAATCTCTATCTGAAAGTTCTTCTTGTGCAGGAAATTGAGGTGGTAGATATCCTCTACTGTTGGTTTATACTCCTCGTCATATACTTTATTTACCAGCCGGTTGATAATGGCGCTTTTTCCAACGCCTGCGCTTCCTATAATTACAATTCGTCTGCGCACAATTTCACTTCCAGGCTGGTTGGTAGAACTCATAGCCAATCTGTTGCCCATAATTACTTCAATGCCTGATGCAGACTACAACTGTTAAGCGTCTTGTGAACGTTGATTGCTGTTTCGACGCCAATTTAAAGATGTAATCTTCCGGTGAAACCCATAAATGAAGACTTACAACATTAAATATATACTGCCATCTAGAAAATACAGAATAATATTTTAAGGTCGCATTATGTTACATTAGATACCGGGAGTATGTGAAACCCTAATGTCAACTGGTAATTCGCTTAATCCTGAGTAGCGTAGTTACCAACCTGAGAGATTTGAAATGCGTGACTACCAGTTTGCTGGGGTTGGGGAGGGGGCTGCCAGTCCCCCCCCCCCTGTTGTGATCCAGGGGCGGAGCCCCGGTGGGGTCCGAGTTTCTGAGTCATAAAATCAACAGTTAGGGCCTAGTTGTGGCAATGAACACACAAGACCGCACGCGCCAAGTGCGTGGTTGGCGGGTTGTTTTGGTCGAGAACGAGATTTTGTCGGTGAATTGATTCTCGAATGAGATAACGAAAGCTTTCGAATGACTCAAGTTACTGCATGACCGTTTTTATACCGTTAATAAAACAAATTTCTTCTAATTTTAAATAGGCCTACATTTTCCACTAAATTCGTGATGATTCGTGACGCATAGACTTGTGCTTATAGTAAATGCGTGGCAAATTTATGATCACGCATGTTTCTGCAAAATGCGTGTTTCATCCAAAATTAAAAAAATCACTTTGAAATGCTTATTGCCTTCCTTGTATCTATACTTCTGAGCAGTTTATAAACATCATTAATGTTAAAAATAATATTACCTAAATTACATCAATATTTTTAGGCTTAATAGAATAACAGTAATTGTTAAAAAGTGATGCTCTGTCCTTAGGCTCAGTGGCTGTGACATTTCCATATTAAGTCATGACTTTAGGTTAAGGTTTTTGATGTTTTATTGCGGATGAACGACCAGAATCTTTTGGGATTTCAACAATGGAGTACCCAATATCTGAAATATATTGGTTGAATTTCCAATTTATAATGTTCTTCAGTTGGTTTCGTAGTCTCCTGAATCTAGCCCAATTGTTGTCTTTGTTTGTACGCTTTGCTCTTTCCCATGCAGTTTTTATTTATTTTTTATTTTATTTTTTTATTTTGGTGATGTCGAACATCAGCGTCAATCCATGCTGGTGATATCTTTAAATTTCATTTTTAGAACAAGTTTGCTCAGTATCCTATCAATGATACTTCTAAGGGCTTTCCATGCAGTATCAACATCATTTGCATCGTATACACTTGAATAAGTTTCATTTGAAAAAAAAAACATTTCTGATCTCATCGAAGTTAGCATTTTTGTAATTAAATATTTTATGTTTCAAACTCCTTAGGCGGTTAACTTTACACTGTATATTTGGATTGGATTGGATTTGTTCGGTGTAAATACCAAGGATAGCCCACTAGAAGAAGACTTATTTCCAGTGGGGTCCTTCTGGTGGTGATTGGGCAGTACACCGGGAGACAATCCCCTACTCTTTTCCGAAGAGTGTATATCATAAATGTACACGGGACCAACGGTTTAAACGTCTCATCCGAAAGACGGTGCGCTAGTGTAACTTGTATTTTGGCCCTCCAGCTGAAACACTTGAAACACAAGGAGAGGCAGCGATGGGAATTGAACCGGGGACCTAGAGATCTCCACGGTTCAGCGCACACACGGTGGTACCACCAGATTAGCCGACTGAGCTAAGCTGCTCTCTCAACTGAAGAAGCTTGTGGTCGGAGTGATTTAAATGATAGCTGGACAACGTGATACTGGAGACTTGATCAGTCGTTGAAGTAATAGGCCTATCAGATCAAGAATGTTACCACATCCCTTATGAGATGGGATAGTATTAATTTGAGCAAGAAAATTGTCTTGCATTTCCTCACAAAAACGCACTTTCACTGTATCACAGTACCATCGAAGAAACAACATTGGACTTCTGGAAATTTAAGTGACTAAGTCCCCAAGAACCTGTATGTGTTCGTAGATAGGTCTTAATGTTTGCAGTGATTATAAAAATCATCTTTGTTACCACTAGGGGTTATATAACAAACAACAAAGGCCATCTTTTGACCAGAGGAGGGTCTGACTTCAACCACCATGATTTCGTCATCTGGTTTTAAATCATGTGACGGAGCGACAGTAAAAAAGACCTAATTAAACACATGACCCCACCACCATCTGTTTTTGCTCCTAAAACCCTATCTTTCCTATGGATGTGGTAACTATACTTTGGGTATTCAGGATCGGTTACTGATTAGGCGGGTGGCCATCGGATTGAATGTGCTCAAAAAGTTTTCTTGGGAATCATAAGTTGTTACAAGGCAACAAGGTGAATTCTGAGTCATCATCTGCTCGTAGAGAGACCACGCCCATACGATTCAGCACGATGAAGCTGCGAAATATGTGTTAATTATCCTAACTTATAGGCCTACTTTTCCTACAGTACCTTTAATTACTGTGAAATTAAGAGACGTTTGTTTCAGTAAATCCATTATATACAAAGAATAAAATCCTCCCTCGAATAAACGCCTTTACCAACAATAAACGCCCCGTGGCGTTTATTCGAATAAATACGGTGTTTCAGTGAGAATAGCATTATTTCCTTATGTACAGTAGTGTAGCAGGTATAGGCCTATAGTCACATACTCTCCTAGGCCTGGAAGGACAGCAGGAGCAGTGGATTGCCCACAAAGTTACTGTGAAATTAAGAGACGTTTGTTTCAGTAAATCCATTATATACAAAGTATAAAATCCTCCCTCGAATAAACACCTTTACCAACAATAAAGGCCTGGAAGGACAGCAGGAGCAGTGGATTGCCCACAAAACAACTGAATACAAGCGAAATTCAGAGTGAGAGTTTGAACCCCCGATAAAGGCTGAGAGTACGAATCGCAACCACTAAGCACCAAACATATTGTCAATACTATCAATATTATCATTTTACCACTATTAAACTAGTATTACTAGGCCTATTCATTATTGTCATCATTCAACCTCATCATACTATTATATCCATCATCATCATCATTTCTTCACCGATCATCATCATCTTCATCTTTCTCCTCAACCATTCACATATAACAAAGACCATACACAAGAAATGAGTCAATTATGCTGGTTTTTATTTATTCTATTTCATTTCATCAGTTTATATCATGGTTCTATCTATTTGCATCTACTTTCATGATCCTTGTATACCAATAAAATGACTAGATGAAAATAGCTCAAGGGCTCATTGGTTTTTTTTTCTTTTTTCAAAATTAGACGATTTTTCGACCCTGCAATTAACCGGTTGTTTTGTGTTCTGTGGCACCTACGGATCATAATTACTATTCATTTTTGCAAATGGCATTTAAAACCTAGTTTTAAGCTTAAAAACTGTTAATTCCAATGACATCTAATTCTGGATTAAATCAAAAAGATTTAAATTAAATTCACTTGAACAAGGCTATGATTCGGTAATTTCATAATCATTGTGTACATTGCCAAAAAGTGGCACTAGGTAGGCCCTGAGGCATTGAGGCTGCTTCCGAGCTCCAATGACGTACGTGAGTCGGAGGCCGGTAAAGGCTTTGGGGATAACATTCTAAAGCTACAACCTTTTTTATTTAGACGTAAACGATTAAGGTAATCTTTAATTTAGATCTTTATAAAGCTGCACTTTTTGTCCCGGGTCCCCAACGAGGCCTGGGCTGGGCCCCAGGGCAGGGATGGATCTAGAATATTTCAAACGGTGGGGGAGGGGGAACAACAGTCTCAGAAAAGGTGATTAACTTTGATTTGCATTGAAAATTTTAAACTTTAATGGCAAAGCAGGGCACGTTCCCCCCGTACCCTTTCCCTCCCGCCATTCCCAATTTTCGCGTTAGCGTATAAGCTGTAGGTTGTTTACAGGCCCATCATGTTTTGAGTCCAGAGGCGGAGAAGCTCTGACAAAGTAGCATTTTGAGGCCGTATTTATTGGATTTCTGTAACCCATAATTTGCCTTGGATTCAAGCTATCGATCGCGACCCAAGTTAAAGTCGCCAAAATATTTTGCAGGGTCACCGGACATTTTAGTTGTCGGAGAATGGTAATTATCATGTCTTCCTTTCATTGTGCAAGTTTAACTGTGTGAAGTAGATTCTTATGTTTGCTTCTCATAGCAAAATACTGTTACGGTACCTACTTGGGCGTCCATACAACAACATCCTGTAGGAGTATTTTCAAACTAAACATAAAATTACAGGCATAATCGTAAACACAGTCATGCAAAGTTTGTTCAACTTAATAGTTTGGCACACAATATGTATTTCTCTGTAATCAATTGGTTTGTAACGGATTTAATTCAAGATCTGGATGGGCCACCCCTACTTCACATTGGCCCACTGTTTTGTTTTGGCCTTAACTTTATTAAAAAATATATTCATTGAATGGTTATTACTTTCAGTTTTTTAAAATATTTTTTTGTATAATTTATATTTTTTCTAGCCGGCCAGAATAATTTTCTTCGCGGGCCAAATTTGGCCTGCGGGCCACCTTTTAAGAACCAGGGGCCTACACACTCTGATTACTGCAATGTAAGTTTGCTTCGATCTTTTAATTGATTTTATCTATTTATTTTTCCATACAGTCGCTACACGCTATAGCTGACAGCTTCCGGTGATGCTGATTTTTCGTTCGAAAAAGTCATACAAAGAATATAAAACCACTAAAACACGATTTATAAACAGCTCGTTACCATAAGTCCAAAATCCTGAACTCACTTAGTAGTGAGTCCCTGGGGATGGTGGTCTCTTCAGTCTAAGTATTTTGACACAAAGCCGCCTTACCGTTTTCATTCGTTCGTTCGTCCGTTCATTCATTCATTCAAAAAATGTACAAAACGGTAGCATGCAAAGTTTTCAAAATATTTACCTCTTTTCACAGAAAAGTGTCCCTTTATAAAGGCGTGTTCTACATTACTTCATTGAATAGTTAATATTGAAAGTTGTATGTATATTTAATTCACTTTATTTTTTAAAAACCATAATTAATGAGAGTGAACCATTGAGCAGAACTAAATTGAAAAATACAAAATTACGAAATGATTGACGCCAGAATCACTACATTTAATTTTCTTCTGAATAGGCCTACATACAAGCAAATCTTTATGTCACCTATGCGAACACGGGCAAACAATTGGTGCGTTTGACTAGTAGAAATTGTTCAGTGCAAAGTCAGTGAAGAAGATATATCCCAATATATATATTTATTTATCTATTACAGAACAACTGAATCTCAATATATGTAATTTTTTAAATAATTACAGTGATCTCTGACCACACGTCAGTACTAACATACATTTAAATTCATACTCATTTTGATTAAATGTTGATAATCACATGTACACTAATCAATATTAATTATATATTCATATAGGCCTAGCATTAATCAATAACTTTCATTAGTGGTTAAATTTAACATATCAATATATCATACAAATGATCTATTATAGTTAAATTTAATATTATGAAGAAGATATAACAAACTGTCATTCATTCACTAATAAACACAAGTTATCTTATAGAAATCTGTATATATTGCAAACTATTTCATTGATGAAATTAATGAGTATCTCATGCAAATCATTTCATTTATAACAAGTTAGAGAAATGTGAATATCATGCAAACTATTTCATTCATGAAATTAATTAGTAGCTCATGCAAAACAAGTTAAATATGAATATCAAGCAAACTATTCGGGGATACAAGACAGTCCATCGCTTGCGTGCTTTTTCCAACAAGACAGTCCATCGCTTGTATTAAATGGAAACAGCAATATTGTACTTCAATCACAGTTCTTACCAGCTCCAAATTAACCGGCTAGGCTTATACAGGCATTCACTTAACAGGAATACAACCTGCGCCCTGCGACAAGTACTGTACTTCACTTTCCCCGTACAGTGTACAACAAAACAAAGAATGAATATGTGTGTCGTAATTCCTCAGGAAAATCTATTTATACAAACGAAAGTTGCACCTGAATGCTTTTGTCATTGACTATCAAGCGAATGAATAGCGTCATTACTACATGTTCGAATGATTAAACGTTTATTTGGTTAAACAATACATGAGATTCAATTCCAATGTGACGCTTTACAATCACACAAACACCAAAACAACTGCTTAATAATGCAAATATATAAAACACGTATAAACTCTATATTCAACACAAAACATAAACAATCTTCACATTAGAAATGATAAAAATGATAAATGCCAGATATGTTAACAGCAATACCATACATGTGTATAATAATAATATAATAAAGATATTTAAAAAAAATAAAAAAACAAACAGAAGTTTATACCAGGGGCGGTGCTATCTAGCGGGGGGGGGAGAACCTTCATCCCGTCGGGGACCTCTAACGCCCCCGCTTGAACTCCCTGTCGGGGAAAAATAAAATCTCGAGCGCTGAAAGTACAATTCAAACATTTCTTACTAAAGCTGTCAAAATTTTAGGGATTAAAAACTGTTTAGTGCGAGCAGTGCTACCTTGCGATGTTCAGTGGTGCACCAGCTCTTCTCCGACAGGGGGCTGGTACCTCTGATAGGAGGTTAGAATCCCTGACAGGTGGACTTTTTAAATAAAGAATCCTATAATTAATACAAAATTTTATTATGTTTTAACCAAAATAATTCCGTGAAATTAAATTTTTCCCCAACAAATTATTTTTTCACCAACCGGTAGGGAGAGGGGAGGTTTCTCCGACAGGGGGGGGGAGGTTTGTCCGACAGGGGGGGGGGGGCGTGGACCACTTCGGGTAATTACTAGCGCCGTCCCTGGTTCACCCAATAACCTCTAAATACCATCCAGTAACTCAATGGAGCTACGAGTCCAAGCTGATATAATTTCATACAGTTTCTTATATGAATTCCTCAAGATATTACACAATACATAAAAAAGTGTAAAAAATCACAATTAATTTTATTCTTAACTAAAGGTTTTCTGACACTACTATAATATGCAAATATTTTCAAGTGTTGAGGGCCTTAAAAACGGTATGATAGTGAACAGGTTTGTTCTGTTTTAACTGTTTGCACACGAGCGGCAAAACATACCGAACACACAATTTTATATTCGAGGATTAGAAAATTTGCAATGTAAAATATTTATGTCATGATTAAATTATTATATGTACACTATATTATTTTAATTTTATAGTAATTTATAAACAACTAATCAAATTAACTTTAAAGCCGGGCACTCACTGCGTCGTATGACCGTTGCACGACGAATCCAAATCTGCTCCCTGTGAGCGCTAGACCACGTGACACCGTCTGCTGATTGTCTGGGGTCGTCTGAACGGACCGTCATTAAAAACGATCCGTTGCGCGCACATCATCACGTTGCGTTCTTCATAGAATTGCGTCGGCCGATGACTGTCGTTCGCAGTGAGTGCCCTGCTTTAACACTGAGTTGTCTGAGTCTATGTGGTAATCTATTCCAACCAAATCCTGCTTTGTTCTATTTACCTTACTTTCCAAATAAATTTTACATATTTAATACTACAAAACACCATATTAATAAACACTACTAAAATGGCAACATAAAGGAGATAAATATTGGCAAGAAATATTATTTATAAAAAATATGATAAAGTATTGCATAAAAGTTTAGCTACAAATGTAGAAAGTATATGAAAATATTGCTGTATGTATATATATATATGTATATATGTATGTATATATATGTATGTATGTATGTATATATATGTATATATGTATGAGTATGTATATATATGTATATGTAAGTAAAGATTTTAGAAAAAAAACATTATTATTATTATTGATTTAAATTTGGCCATATTATTTATAACAAATATGATACAGTATCGCATAAAAGTTTAGCTACAAATAAAGAAAGTATATATGTATGTATATATATGTATATATATGTATGTATATATGTATATGTATATATGCATATGTATATATATATATATGTATATGTATATATATGTAATATATATATATATATATATATATATATATATATATATATATTATATCGATATGTCATATATGTCAAATGAACATATTGTGAGACGAAACTAATTGTTAAATACAGTATACATAAATTTTTTCCTGATATTATAGGTAAATTTTTCGATAGAAAAATGGTAAAATGTGCAAGTACTACACTATGGTAGTAAATTCAGAGATATTGATGTTGCATTTAAGGTGGCTGTGTTCTTTGTGGGCATTTATCCCCCGCCGCCTGCAGTGCTACTGTACAATAAAGCATGCCACTGTAAACAGCCAGAAACAGAGCCAGAGCTTTCCGACAACACTAGCCCTTCCGCAGTGGCGAATGAGAGTAAGTATAATGTCCCTATGGAGGTTCTATGTTATAAGATAATTCTTATTGGTCCAAAAATTGCTTTGGAAAATTTGCTTCTCGTTGGCTCAAGACAATCGATAAGTTTACAACAAACACATAGTTCTCAAGAAATACATGCAGTGACAGCAATTTTCATAAAAAAATGTTCAAAATAAAAGAAGAGTATTGTTCTTAATATATAAACCAACTTAAAATAACATAGGAAAACCTAAATAAACAAATTCAATTCCAGTGATCCTGTTTTGTGAGAAGCCACAATGGGCAGTTTTTTTTTTTGCTCAGATTCCCACAAATAATAACTGAAACTGGCACTGTATCAAGCTCAAACAAAGCTCGGATAAATTTGTTGCAGCGACACAGTCTATCAGCCTTCAGAGATTCAAAATAAACATGTATATGCATAACAAGGAAAAAATCAAACAACGTAAAAAAGCAAGAACCTGCACATTAATAATTTACAATATAGAATTGTAATTCTACATTGTAAATTTGTAATTACATTTAAACTTGCCTAAGTCGATCTTATTTTACATGCCAAATTATTGTTTTCCATTATTTAACAATTTGTATTTCGAATTTTATCTAAGTCGAACAATATTTCAGTGTCATTTTGGATTCGACTTAGGCGAGTTCAACTGTACCTCCACCGAAGGAGGTTTTGTATTCACCATTGTCTGTTAGCAAGATTACACAAAATCTAATGAATGGATCATCAAATTTAGTGGAATGGTATATAATAATCAAAGAAAGACCCCATTAAAGTTTTGGAAGAAAATGTCAAAAGACAAGGTCAAGGTCACAGAAATTTGATTTTTTAACCCCAAGCATAAAAGAAATAATGGAATCGCTCCTCGTTTTCATGCAGCACTCAAGAAAATAATGTGCCTGAATATGACAGGCGATTCCAATATTTCCTTGAGGGTATGCTGTATTATTGCCCATCATACAGCCTATGTATTGCTGGTATCCAAGCACAGGGCGGGGATATGCACTCTATGGAGTGACGGCCCTTTCAATTCCATATGGAACTTAGATTTCACAAATCTGCACAAAGTGTGTGTTCTTAACATGTTGTATTAATACAGGTCTCTAAATACTGTAATGACTGAACATACTGTAGCTTATGTTAGGTCAAATAAATTTACTAATTAATGTATAAAACTAAATGGAATGTCTGTGTGCTATTATAGTTTTAACTACTGTATGCAATGAATTTTCCCAGCTATCACTATATATTTTTCTAACCTACAGTAGGGTGTAGGCTGGGGGGAGGGGAGGCAGGAGACAGGGGTGCAAACACAATCCTCATGAAGGCAAATTAGTTCCATGTGGGTTAAAATATTAAAAATGACCATTAAGTTTGGAATTAGGGATTTAGTTCCGAATTCCACAATTTTCACACCCCTACCCACCGTAATTTCACTCCCTTCCAGACTAAAACCAGCCTACACCCCTGATAAAGCAGACTATATTATTAATCTGCATAATGATCAAACTACTCCATATTTAAATATGTTAAAGATATATTTTCTGAGTTGGGCTAATCAAATATATAAAAAGAATTGCATAGTTTCTGTAATTATTATTAGCTTTCAAAGAAAACCACAATTTATAATAATATACTCCAAGTTCTTGAAACTTTTTTAAAATTTTGTAGAGTGACAGGTGTTTTAATTATCGGCAAGCTTGCACAACAAGCTTGTTCGTTGATCGTTTGGCCAAGAGGTCATTTTCCTGCTCTTTGTGCTGAAGACCCCAGTTTAAATACGGCCAATGTCAGCTCCTCGAATAAACCTTGCATAAGAGTTAGGCTAGACAGGGGCTGAGCCAGAATTTTTAAACTCAAATTCAAAATTTGAAATAATGTCAGAATTGAAATTAAAAAGCAAAAATTAAATTTTAGAAAAACATATGAAAATAGTTTCATCTTAATCAGCTATTCTGTGTTGTAATTTAATGTCTTGATAATCTTTTTTTCCAGATTCTACTACAGAACGTATATCTTTAAGGGCAACTATAGTTTGACCTATGAACTTTGAACAATGCAAGAAATAATCAACCAGTATAAGCTGGTGGATTTTGAAGATGTTCATTACCACCACCTAGAGGAACCTTCTGTTCATTTTCAGGAAGTGATGCCTGGGCTCCAAGTGTACACTGCGGTTGACTAACAGATGCCTGCAGTGCTTGAGGTGCGGCAATTTGAACGACGGGAATTAGATTTACTTGATTCGCAGAGTAGGCGACTGATAATGTTTGTGGCTCCCTGCGCATTTTCTTCCTTTGTATGAGCAGAACAATAATAACGACGAGGAAAACAACTCCACTTATTGAACCAATGACAACACCAGCTATCACAGAACCATGATTGTCAGGATCATATGGCTCATACTCATAATAGTCTAGAAAGAAGGAAATTGGCAATTTACTGCCTCTATTAACAATAGATAAAAATAATTAAATCAAGGAATAAGAAGATAATAATAATAATAATAATAATAATAATAATAATAATAATAATAGTATTGAAAAACAAGAGAACAGTTCTTAGTTTCATTATAGACAAAGCCTATAGACCCTTTCATGGGATTTATTTTGAAACAGCACCGTCAACGTTCTGCACTGGGGGACATCCAGCGGCCTAGCCTGAGCAGCTGGCTAGTTACGAATAGAGCACCGCGCAGTGAATAGCCCTGCTAGACCTTTGCTATAGCAGCAGTAGACAACAGATACGATCTTGCTAATTACTGTAATTACTGTATATATAAACATTGAAATAGCTTTTAATGAATCAGACTTCTTTTTAATGTCAACATTTTGTGTTTTTTCCTTTTTAAAATATTTGAATTTGTATGCAGTTTAGTTTCATTGTTGACTTAATCCATGGTAGATGCCAGGTTATCGGAAATTTTCATTTCAAATTTTGCGAAAATGGTGTATATTTATTCCAAATGGCCTTAACAGCCCCAAGACATGTTTTGGCAGTGTGCTCCTCCTACCATCATCAGTTGTCAATAAAAGAATAATAATAATAAAAATAGTAACAATAATAATAATAAAACAACAACAATAATAGTAGTAATGATAATTAATAAATAATAATGTTACAGTACTAACAACAGCAACAACAATATAGGAAATTATAAAGCACCTTGTTTACAGTGAACTAAAGAAAATACAAGAGAATAAAAAAAAAAAACAGAATAAAGAACAATTAAAAAGTATGTTGTGTCATTTACAGTACATGGTTGACCCTTTCAGACATAGCAAGCCACTAACTGTTACGGCAATATTATTAGGTGCCAAGGTGGTCTAATTAAGAAGGCATCGACCCTTTCAGACAGAACCCCATGCCGGCGTGCTTACCGCTATTGCAGCTCTGTCTGAAAGAGGCTAGAGAGTACCATTTCCGGCCATCTAGAGGTGCCATAAGTATAAATTTATCTTACCTCAGCCCCAACCATGGTGGGGCTGAGATACTATACAGTGGCGGCTCTAGGATATATTTTCTGGGGGGGAGCTAAGTTGTCCGACAGGGGGGACTTGAGCTTGTAGACTTGAGCTGGAGGAAGGGGTTGAGAGGGGGTTCACCACCCCAAATGAGATTTTTTTGAAGAATATCAACCTCCGGATGGCCGAAAATGGCACTCTCGGACTGTGACAGACATGTGTTGGCTTGGTGTGGGCCTATTTTTATATGTTTTATGGTCTGACTGCCCGACGAGCTCTGTCCGGCGGGGGGGCTTGACCTGTTCGGTGGGGCTCAAGCCCCAGGGAATGCAGAATCAATTATACACAAAGTGCAGCATCCTCCACTTCCTGGGAAGTACTTCTAATTATGCTTATAATTAAGTAACAACAATAACATTATAAAAGAAATGAAAAAAGATTGTTTACATACCACACCAACGACCATAGTAACCTCCATAGCAATGGCAAGTGTCTGAATAGCAGTTACCATTAAAACACTTATTCCTACATAAATCAATCTGTTCTGTAGTCAAAGGTACTGAAAAAATAATTTTAAAAATTAATAATAAAATATTTAAAAATATCTTTTACAACCAACAGAAATGACGCTCGCTAATGGACCATTTTCGCCCTGCCTCTTGGATAATATTGCTAAGGTGTGGTACCTAAAACTGCATAAATGTAAAAGTGTACATAAACTTGCATGCTTGTTATTGGCTATTACATAATATGTTCTGAATAGTCAGGTGTTTAGTTCGATTTACATTCCATTATGTTCTAGATCTTTCAGTCAGTGTGCAATTGTAATTATGGAGTTGAATAGCTTGGTGGTTGAGATGCTTGCCTTCTAATCCCAGGGTCCTTGGTTCAATTCCTATCACGACAGCACTCTTTTTCATGACTAAAAAACAACTCCACTCCCTACTAAGCCTCATGAAGATACTTGGTTTATAAAGCATCATTCTCATCCTGTAAGTGGCAAGTGTAGTGTGAAGGAAATAAAAAATATATAAAATTAAAAATTCATTTATCGACAAAATACTCACCTACTGTCTGCATACAAACAACAAAGAATCTAGTACGAACATGGAAGCAATAATTATTTCCCCAGTCATCATGATCACAATCTACAATTCTTTTTTCTCCTCCGTTGCAGTTGATATTGTTGAGCCAGACTTTTGAGGTTACAATATTAGCTTTATACTGCCCAACAACAGGATCAGTAAAACCAAGTGAGCGGCAGGCTACTTCTGCAGTTTTATTTGAGTCTTCGTAGTAGTACGATGATATACACACCGAGCCCCACACTTCAGAATGGTAAACTTGCAGTTCTCCATATAATATGTTGGACAGTCTAATGTCATTCTCTGCAGAATTAGATAACACAAATCTGATTACAGTACGTATAATAAAAAACACAATTTTATAAATAATATGATGTGATTTGCATCATTTCAGCAACAACTGAAAACCTACCGTCCAACCTGTTCAAGCATTAGGGCGTTTAATCAGGGGTTTGAGTCTGAATTGAATTGAATCACATTACAAACCAGAAGACGATGTCGAAAACTAGGGATGCTTTACAAGATGCAAAATGGGCTTGTCAACATCCCACTTCACTAGTATGTCCATCTACAGACTCATGTATCCAGGAAACACAATCAGAAATTCAGGCAACAAAGGCACAAATCATTCTCATTCTTCGTCTCCACCATCATCGACTTGAATGCACTTCCAGAAAGCATAGTCAACAGTGTCAGCATTGAAAGCTTTATGTCTAATCTTGAAAAACACAAGCTTAAGAGCTATAATCAGGGATTTAGCTCAACCACACTCAGCATGCAAGTTAGCATGATGTATCGAAAGATATTTTGCTGACTAAACTGATGAAGGTAAAGATGAAATGTACAAGGCTTGAAACTTGAGTGTCCTTTGACATGGCACTGTACCCTGTTTTATCTCTGCACCTGGAAGTTTTTAAAAGTGGTCCTATTATGGCTTGAGTTTGCCACTAATTGTGTTTTTTTATTATAGAAACCTGAAGCTGTGGCTCTCTATCTGTCTCTCTTTCCCTTGTGACATAAATCAAAATAATAAAAAAAAAAATACTCAACAGTTTACGTTACCACAGTACATTGCGCAGCCGATTTAATTACAGTCCCTTTTTAATTAATACATGATGCAAAAAGTATTACATTTATTTGTCTATATTTTTGTCTTTGGTTGAGGTAGGTGGCATTACTGACAGAAGATTTAGAATTCACTATACCACTTCTATATAATCACTTTATAGTTTTAAAAATATTTTATCTCTCACTCTGACCTTCGCCATGGCAAACAGACGAAGGTCTGAATCCGCGCCTGGGTTCAATCCTGTCCGATTACCACAGATTGCAAACGGTTTCAGGTTTTGTGTTGCAATTAATGTTTAATGAAAATTAAGGACCAAGTTGTGAGGTTCTGTTTAAAAATTAACAGGTGATTGGAAACATATTGGCACATTGAAAGAAAACTGAAGGTCATATATTTTTTTGTTCTTTTTAAACTACTATTTACCTGAGTAACAATACATGTAGATATCATCTGCATGGCTGCAGTTCATACTTCCCCACGATACTGTACACTCATTTATATGAGACTCGGACCCATCACAGCGCAGATTATCAATCCAGATTCGACCTGTTCCAGCAGGTAAATCTAATGACAGATTAAATTTTGCCGTTCTAGTATCAAAGCCTGCAGATCTGCAGAGTGCTGTTGCATCCGACAACACCATTCCCTTCATGCAGATTGTGCCCCATTCACCACGATGAAACACCTCTGCTCTGCCCTCTTTGACAGTTAAACCACCAACTAGTCGTACAGTAGATTCTACATTTAGAAAAAAAAAAAAGAAGACTTATAATGATTTTCTCTTTTATTTTTCTATTTTATTTCAACAATTTTGTATGCAATTTGCTGGACGTTGCTACAGGAAACAAAATAAATGTTAGTGAAATATTATGATCCCCACTGCATGCCCAGGGTGTACCTTCACTGACCAATTAGCAGGTGAACGTTGACTCCTTCCAGAAGACCTACCAGAGTTAACAAAATCTGAGCAAGCTCAATCCAGTGTTTTTTTTTTTTTTTAGCAAATAATATACAGTATTGACTATATTTACCATCCTTAAAACCACGACATTTTACATTTACTATGCTTTCTTCCAAAGGCGGTGTGCTCTCAAGTTGTTTACAATACTGAAGGCCACTTTCCGAACCTCTGCAAGTAAAGGAACGGTTCGTCGGTGTGTACAATTCCACATCATTCCTCGCAACAAGATTAAAATTGTTTTCATTTGAAAATCCTAAAGACCTACAGAGGACCTGTGAGTTTGACATGGTCCACTTTGTGGAGGCAATTAGCCACCATTGCCCGCTGTAGTATATCTTCACCAAACCAGAAACCTCTTCGCCAGATGATTGGCTTTCGGAAAATCGAACCTCAAAATCTAGAATTAAACAAAGAAAGAAATATACATAATATAGTAAATTATTAGTATTTAAAAACTCAAGACTTATTTTTTTTTTTGTTTCACATTCACAATAGTTCAATTACAGGACAAACTTGGCACCATGAATCCTAAATGGAATGAAGATATTTTTAATTATGAGAAAAAACATATATAATAGGAATTGAACTAGGACTAATAAATTACAATTGTATTTTTATGTTGCATTAGAGAAAAAAACAATTTTATTTTATTATTCAATAGTCATAATTTATAATTTATCGGGTTGACAATTGCAGAGTTGGTTAAGGGCTGAGTTTGCTAAGGGCCATTTTGGTAGTGAATGAGTTGTATGATATGGGTTGAGATTGAGATTGTAGAAGCCAAGTTGGCAAAAGCCGAGTCTGTTCATGTTGCTGAAGGGCAGAGTCAGTATGATCCAAATTGCTGAACTGTCGACCTAGGCCAAGCCTAAAAATAACTGGCTAGTTAAATTACAAAATTTTGCCATAAAAGCCAGCATCAAAAATTGCCTCAAAAAATTGGGTTTAAAATAGGGCACCACCTTTTGACTTCTTCGGCCGCCGACACCTTCGGCCGCGCGAGATTTATATGAAGCGCCAGTTGGGCATTTCTCCACACCGCATGCTGTGGCGGCGTATGCCTAACTTTAAGCCTTTGCTAAACTAAATAATTGCTGTCATGTCGCACAGTAATATTTACGTATTTATTTTAGGTATTGTATGTATATAATAATTGCTTTCATGTACAGTATTATTTAATTATTTATTTCAGGTATGTGGGTTTCTTTTTAAGTGTCTTACATTGAAGAATTGTAAAGCTTCAGTATTTTATTTGTTTTACAGAACATTATTGTTATTCCTTTTACAATTTGAAACTGTAGGCCTATTCATTGTACAGTAATTCATATTTCCAGTATAAGTATAAGCTCCAGTATTTTATTTATTAATAGACTACAAAACGCATTTTTTACTGTATTTTTATTCATATTTCATCAGTTTCCTTTATCCACAAAATAGAATTTCGTCAAATAAAATTTAGAATGATACACATGCACAAATTTCGTCCTTTATCCACAAAATAAAACATTTTTTAAAACAATTTTATTTGTATGTCTGTTGTCTGTTCATGTTATCTTTTCACACAAGATCGGATGTAAAATAACACATTAGCGAGGGTGATGAAAGTATGTTATTTACAAGAGTTGGAAAAAGAAATCTAGAGTAAATTTGTCAATCATTAGTCAATAAAAATATTTAATTTATTGGTGATTTAAAATTCAGGTCTTTATATTTACATTACTGAATAGTAAACAAGTGCACATGTAAAAAATGAGATCTATAATCGATAACAAGCAATGATGTTTACCTTTAACAATTATCGTCAAAATGTTTAAAAATCTTGCAAATATGTTGCTTGTGTTAACCATGGTGTAAGTGGCAGCGCAAAGTTTGCCATATTTAATTCGTTACGATTTTTTCACAAATTATATAATTTTATCACTGAAATTTTAACACACTATTAATATTAAGTGTTGCGACATGTTCTGTGTGTATAGGCCCATCTGTAACAATGTAAGCTTGAGTGTTTCTGAATTTGAGGTTAAGAATTGAATAGATATAATAGGTAAAGTTGGCGGGCCGCACACATAGGGCTGTCCTATAAATAAAAGAATTTGTGTAATAAAATTCCTCTGACGGGATTCGAACCTGCGACCTCCTCTCGCTGTCAAGGTGTATTCCGATGCAATTTTGCGTCAGGAAAATCTTACAGCAATACTTTTTTCACAAGTAGGGCCTATGCCTATTTGGAGACGTACTGAATATTCAGTATGGTAAATACATCTTTTCGTCTATTGGTCTATCAAGTGGGAGTTTACGTTGAAGTTCGAATTTTTGAGGGTGAAGTGTACTTCAATGCCGTGTATCAAATATATGAAATAACTTCTCCAGCCCTGGATCCGCCACTGTGGTAGAAGTTGTCTTTATAGAGAGTGAGTATCTAATAGGCCTAGGCATAGAAGTTTTTGAAATCGCAACAAATTTGGTCGGTTATACTGAACGCAGAGCATGGCTGAGCCTAATTACACATGGTCACTTTAAAGTAGGCGGAGCCAAATCGGCAAACTGTGACTAAACATGTGGTTTCAAAAACTTATAGGAAAGTCATATTCTAATATTGTTACGTTAGCTTAACTGACTGATCAGAACAAGGTCCAGAATAGGCGCTCTCCCACAAGACACGACAGTGCTGTACGTGTTTGCGTACGTTCACAGGGGCGGCTCCAGCAATTCCCCGAAGAGGGGTCCAGCTCCCCGACAAGGAGTCCAAGCACCCCCAATTGGGGAAGCCCCCCCCCCAACCCGGTCGGGGAAAGTTGATTATGGTATTCTTATTTAAAAAGGATAATTTAATAGAAAACCATGCAAGTTAAGAGGCCCCTGTGGGTGTACTAACCACCTCTCAGAGGTACCACCCCCTGTCGCTACCACCGCATCCCATACGATCGCAATAGTATACAACACCTCGCACATACGGTAGCATTACTCGCACTAAATGAAAGTTTTTAAAATTGCTGAAAATTCCCCCGACACCTGGGGGTACAAGCGGGGGGCGGGGGTCCAGAGGTCCCCGACGGGGGTCCTTTCCCCCTGGTCCCCCCGCTAGCGCTGCCCCAGCCTTCACGCTGTCGTCAAGGGGGCGGGAATTAGTGGAAAGGTCATTTACAATCAGTGTCACACAACAAGCACTCACGATAGCCTACTGGAATTAACTTAAAATTAAATTAAAGAAAAAACGTAGACGTTCATCAATTGACGTTCGCTATTTTATTGTTACTACAAAATCAATTCCGTCACCCAGTAGACTAAAAGAATTATCACTTCGATTTATTGTATAATTTTTACATTAACATAAATTGTACATTAACATAATATTAATTTTTTACACTAACATAAGATGATCTTCATATTCAAATCACTAAAATATTTATTTTTATTATTTTTTTCATCAAGATATTTACAAAATTTGGTCACGTGGTGGAAGTTGAAAAATGGTAAACAAATCTTCACCAAAAAGTTAGCCTAGTACTTGTTTACAGTAATTAACATACATATACAATAAATATCGTAATAATTACACAACGTGCACGCCAAAATGGAAATGCACATCAGATAATCAAGAAGAGGATGCCTATATGAAATTTGATTGCTAAACTTCGAAAATACAGATGCATTGATAATATCGATTTTTATTCATATGGCTTTTCTAAAACTATTTTCTAAAACTTAATGCTAAATTTATGTACGGTAAATATATCCTACTACATGGTAGTTTAGTAGGTTAAAGGAAACTTTCACCAAAATAGTGAAGAATTACATAAACTAAAGATTTAAAACTTCGTTGATAATTAAGCGGTTACTGGTTATTGGTTAAACGTTTTTATGTGGCTCTGATTGTATTTTGGATCCGGCAACTACAAAAATCGCCGAAAATTTACAGACTCTAGGTCGTTATCTAGGCGTACAAGGCGGATAATGATAAATGATTTACCAAAATGTTAAACTGAAGAAACTAGAATATGCTCCAGCTTTTTCATTAGAACCCTAGAAATACTAGGAATTTAAATACGGACAGAAAAATTCCAACTGTATTCAAATACTGTGTACGGATCGACGTTCAGGAATAAACATGAAAGAGGCCTAATATGACATTTAATATAGTCTCAATAATATACATAAACATATATATAAATAAATACCAAAAATATATATGTTTATATACATCTCAAGATATGTAAAGTATACCTGTACTCATATTAATTATTATTATTATTGATTTTATATACCATTATATGTATAGGGCCTATTCTCAAGGTCTGTATATTCACGGACGCTAAGTACAATTGCCTACATTATAATGTGAAGGTTTGTATGATATAGTATGAAAATAAAATGTATATTTTATTTAAAAGACTATTCATAAACAGCAAAAATGAATATATTATAAATGGCGGATTTCCATGGATCAATTAAAACAGCGCCACCCCGGACCACACCCCGGCTCAGTTCTATTAATTACTGCTAGGTCTACCTAACAATAAGCATTAAACTGACGCATTGTAATGTTCTATTGTAATTATACCTAGTAAGACTGGTAAATTGGTAAATGTTATATGTTTTTTTTTTATAACGACACATCAAGCGATTTTGATTTTTTTCAAATTTAGTAAAATCTACGGCAGTTACATGTGACTAATATGATCTAAAACAAGCAAAAATTTATTTAAAAATTGATATTAAACTCAAATATTGTAGATCTACGTATTGAGCAAAATACATTTTTACTATAAATCATAATCAATATCTTGCATATTTTCGATTCATTACCTGATTTCTAGTCATTGTCAGCTATGAAAATGCAATTTATAGCAATTAATTTCTGAAAGTAAATTTAGCATTCTAAGACTATTAATTTATGTCAAAGTATAAGTTTTTTCCAGACTGAGATTTGCTAAAAAAAAACAGAAACAAAATCTCCATTATATTTTAACTACTAGAGTTGCAGTAAATTATCTTAAAGAAACAAAATTTATTTTCATATTCTCCATTCCTTCAGAATTTCTATACGATAAGCTTCCATAAAATTTCCCAAATCAATATCATCAGTTATATAACCTACGATAGCTTATTCCCTAGCAACCAACAAATATCGTTCTCAAAACAGCAGTACGAGAGTGATTTCATTCAAATAAAACACCGTACACTTGCTACATACTTCGATGCATCTAGCCCGAGGCTCCAACATGAAATGTATTCGTCAATCTTGAAGCTTCTCTTCAAGCTTCAGCAGCCGAAATCTGCTGGAAAAGTCGTCAAATCGAACCCAGCTATTTCTAGCTGAGAAAGCTGCAAGCCATTTCAGACGGCAAGATTACTACCTTCTAGGCGATCCATTGAGCGGTGGGTGGTGTTGTACGGTGACCGTAGACTGCGACGAGCACGTCGACGCTCCTGACGATCTTTCATCATCATCTGTAGGTGCGCCATTTTATCTCTTGTGTGTTTTTCCTGCCGTACATCATCTATTAAAAGAAAAGCTTATATTGAATATACTACAAAAATGCTTTACAAACATTTTACAAATTAGGACGCATGTACTAGATAGTAGCAAGCTTCTGTTTTCGTACCAATAACGGGCCAAAAACGAAACATAGTTCACTGTAAACTTTCAAATAACTGACCTCATCAGTACTAACAAACATTGAGAGGCAAATAACGTTGCAGTTGCTTACTGTATGCCATGTCTATATATTGAGATTTATAGAATATTCCCTAATCGTAGCGATAATTACGGTATGTTATCTGGTAACTTCAAAATTAAAAACAATATACACAGTATGTTTTAACTGTTATGTTAGAAATTTAGCTATTAAATTGTACATTTGAAAACGTATTTCCTCCGTGATATAACTAAACAATTTCGTGTATATAGGCGCTTTCAGCGGACCCGGGAATACGAAATAGACAGAGGGGCAATTTACATGATACTATCTCGCAGCCTCGCCATGGCTGGGACTGAGATACTAAATTTTGAGTCTATAGCACTTCATAGATGGTCGGAAACGACACCCTCAGACTTTGATATAAATTTGAATATATCACTTTTACTTTATAAATTTAGCAATTACACGGTGTATTGGCTAATAATTACTTTTCAATAGCAATGTTTATGAATGTTTTAATGAGCATTGGCCTAGGTTTTCATGTACATTAATCCTTTACTACTTATTTAAATAATGTGATTAATGATATCAGTGTATGGGCTACCGTATATAATATAAACTTACCGTTCGTTCTTCTTCGGAAACCTGGCAGATCGCTGGTCGAGTTGGTAGTGTGTACAGCTGGTGCACGAGGCCTGCCCTCAAGTAGCTGTTTGTACACTGGCGCAGCTTTTAGAAGATCATTCAATATACACGCGATCGTGTTGATGTCGCGTTTCTGTTTGCCGCCCTCATCGCTCATAGCCGTATTCAATGACCCTGCAAAATTACAACACAGTGAAATCATAATTTTTATGGTGGTTTATATTTTATTATACAGAGGCATAAAGAATGTATTTTAATGATGATTATGAATCAATAAAATTATAATTTTTTTTTCGAGTGTCAGTACTGTAATCAGTACTTATAATGGCTTGGTATCTGCACAGACGACCTATGCTTAACAGGTATTTTGTAACATTATAATACAAACTCATTGAAATTTTAGTCATGAAAGAAAAACATGTGTCGCAGGATTTGAACCTTGGCCTCTAAAATTATAAACCCAAGCAGCTCAACCACAGCTATAGCTCAAAACTATATGGCTATTTATCATTTTTATTTTTGACTGCCTCTGGAATTTTCGCTGGATCATTCCAAGTTAATATTTATATATGACTAGATTTAAAACGCACCTATTTAACATCTGCATAGTTTTTTACTGTGGCAACACTCCGTAATCTTAACATGCCAAAAAAAAAAATGTTTGATAAAATCCCGTCTCATCGTATAGAGAGAGTACAGTGTTCCTCTAGCAACGTTTTAAGAGAAGGCAAGTACCGAGCATTCTCGTCATTACTTCGTTATCTAGAATTTAAATATATATATTTTTTCAATAACACTCCGAGGCCATAGATTTGTCACTAAACTCGTCCTGTGTTAAGGAATATGAATGTCAACGATGAATGACAAGGAAACGGAATTTAATAGAAAGTAATCCATATTACTCTAGCAACGGTTGCTGAACGCGTATGACGTCATCCAATATGTTGCTAAGGCCAGGTCCATTTGGGAATATTAAAAATCCAAGGGACTGACTAGGTAACTTATAGAGTATAACACAGCGCACACACACAACAGAGCAGGGTGCGTGGTAAAGGACCATTGTGCATGGGGATAATCGCATTGACGCAAATCGCTTTTCTGTTACCATGGTTTCAAATTAAGGATTGTATTGACCACAATATCTATAGCGTTGTCTCATCCTCTCAATTGTTAATTTATAGATGACCTCATAGGTCACACAATTGCTGAATAACTGTTCAGTCATAAAATGAAACTTGTTTATAGTACCCCTTGGTAAGTGGTAAATCGTTACCGTATTTTACTGTGTATTTATTAATAGGCCTATATCGGAATAAACAAATTGACTTTCGGGGAAAATCAATACAAAAGGCTAATCCTTAATTTTTCGGTGATTACCTGACTTCAGTAAGGTTTATAAATGCAGATAGATGGCCTTGGTTTGCAGAGAATACAGGAGCCATGAAAATGGAGACACGAGGGCGTATCACCTGACCAAAAAATTGATGACGTGACAGCATATGAATGCCAGGTTGAACGTTTCATGTGAAATATTCACATGTCCAGCGGCTATTAAACTGGCGAGTGATTATCAATCTTACGTGCTCAACGCACACAAGCATCACACTCGGTTGAATTTCAAAATGTCAATCGTCAATGGCCCAGTTAAATTTGCCATTTCTTCATCGAAAGCCTTTAAACGTTCATGTAGTGGTAATATTTTTTTTGTAATATCGCATTATAATTTTGATAAAATTGACGTTAGAATCTGAATTGGCTTCGTAAGCTGAAAGTAGGCCGTTCATTCACAAAATGCCAACGACCGCAAAAGGAGCGCAATTCACGGAATTCGTCAATGTCTTTATTAAAACAATAAAGATGACATTACTCCGACCTTCCATAAGCTACATAAAGCCTTGATTTTGAAACAAAACCAGATAGGATTAAAATTGGTAATCACAATGAATGCAACTTTGAGGTCATCGATTCCTATAAGCGATTTTCTCTTTAATAAAGTGTAGTTTTAGAGTTGGCCTAGAGTACGTTGTTGCAACGCTTGCAAATGTGGCCGATGAGTCTTTAATGCATGTTCCTCCTTCAGTTTAATGGTTATCAGAAAGGGTTCCAAGACGAATGCCGCCATTTATTAGCATTAGCTTAATATTATTATCCCCGTCATAATCAGTTATTTCATCATTATCATTATACTGTTTATGACAGACGTCTCGTTCAAACGCGCGTAACAAGTGTCAAAGTACGGTACGGTACACATGTAATTGAACTGTTCCCTGGTACACAGTAACCCAACTGGTTCTGTAGGCCTATATTAATTATACTCAACTATCCGTAAAGAATTTCATCTGGTTTTAGGATAATATAAATAGGCTCCCAGTGGGAATGTGTGTCTACTGTTTGACATGGTTTTTGTGTCTACTGATTGTGGACTCTTTTCTCTCAGGCCAAGTCTTACCTAGCATGGCATCATTTTTCGTAAACTTACTTTTCATTTTTATCTATAGCTTATAGGCCTATGACCCATCCCATAATTCCTCCACCGGATTTACTCTTACAAAGGTCAATTGCCAGATGATAGCAAAGTGTCTACTGACCCCCCCCCCTTTCGCCCCGAAGGGGCAGTAGACACAAAAAAACTTTAGAGTTCTCAAAATTAATATTCACACTATGTACCGTACCTAGCCAACGTCATCACGAGCCGCAAGATGACGCGTTGTCAAATAAAGGTGTCAAACAGGTAATACCTGCAATGTAGTAGCCTAGATATAATACAAATGTAATATCTGTGAAGTAGTAGGCCCATCATCAGATGTAGATAAAAATTATATTTCAGACATCAAGGGTGTTACCATTTCCCCATCGTATAACGAACGGTGAAGAACACATTGGTTTTGTCCAATAATTTCGGCCAACGGTATTTATTTATACTAAAAATACATATATACACTTTCAGAAAACCTCCCTCTTGGCAATTATGTCTTACTTTATGGAAAAGTATCGTATTTATAATCGCTGGACTCAATGACGTCACCGTATCCATGAAGAATAAGCACAGCGTCTATTACCGTACCATTTATGGTGTCCCGTTCACAGATTTTCTACCTAATCAGATCAATTTTTTGTTTTTTTTAAATTAACGTCCCTTTGGAGTACTTAGGGCCTATATGTGTACTTTGTACATTTCTGTAGATTATACCAAAGTTTATTTCTGGTTTGAACCTGTCTAGACTGTGGAAGTTGTATACAATGAGCATGATAGCTTATAGATGCCTGATTCAATTACCATATCTAACCCCAAAGCTCTCATCCACTTCTAAATTATTGCAGACAGAAGATGACCATCGTGGTGATAAAAATATCTTTAGGGGCATTTTTAGTACATACGATTTAGTCATTAAATGCAAAATAACTACGGTACCGACTGTCGATTAAGTAATTGGGAACCCACGGACTGCAAACAAGTTGTTAGTGCAAGGGCTTAATCACGTGACATGTAAATCTAACATAGTTATTTACGTCATCAATACATGTAATGTGGGCACTAATTACTACACGTTTACATAGTACCTCAATAGATACCCCGTAGCATCACTTTCTATGGAAAAAAAGCATATAACTTACCGGAAAATGTTCCCGAAAACACTCCGGGGGCATAGTGATTCACTTGGTCAATGTATGCGCCTGTCCTAGGCCACGATTGCTGACCCTTTGCGCCACACGTCGCATGTGTGGTGGCCGGAGAGGTAGTTGTCGGGCTCGGTGGAGGGGAGCTTGGAATGGACCGAGGATGCAGAGGACATGGAGGCTGGGGAAGAGAAATAAATGTGACGAATGGTTATTCATTGATGACGTTATCCTAACACCTCGTTTACATCATCCACGCAAATGCAATGTGCAGAACGAAAGAGCCACATAGTAATCATCAACCTTTAATACGGTAATGAACATCGGCCTAACGTACTCCGTGGCTGTTTTAGAAATTCGAAAAAGAGGGTCGCGGGGATGGGAATTGAACAGATGAGACGGTCCAGACCTCAGCCCCACGAAGACTATAGCACCTCAGATGGGCGTAAATAGCACTCTCAAACTTAAATTTGAATGCATTTTGTATTAAAAAAAAATAGGGTGGGGGAGGGGGAGGGAGTCCGGGCCGCCTCTGGTACTTGTTATAAGGAATAACTTCAGAGGAAACAACGGTGTTAAGGTAATACACATGGAAATATCATTCAAGGCTCGAATTGAAGTTTATTTATTAGATTTTAATTTATTTAGAATTATACTGAGAAAATGTTATCCTGGTTAATGAACTACTCATCCGTTCCTATATTCTTTGCATAATCTTTATTGGCAGGTACGGTTATCAGTGAATGAATTTCATATTAGAAAGTCAGTAAGTCAATTAGAATTAATAAATTTTCTTTGGTTTACGACAAACAGTATTTTATAAATAATAATAATAATAATAATAATAATAATAATAATATTTATAAAGCGCACATATCCACTGCAGTAGTGCTCAATTTAACATTCGGATACACGAATCAAATACACTTAACATCTCCAGCAGAGGGCAAGATCCATCAAATAGATCATTAAGTTTAATATTTCTTGAAAAAGATGTCAATTAATGCGTAGACAATCTTACGCACGAAAGATTGTAGATACACACTTATCATACTGATTTATTATTCTCATTTAACAGCACGACTAGTTAATTGCTGACAAGGGGGTGGTTGGCAATTACACAGGCTTACGTGGACATCACCTTATCAATACTTAATGAATTTGTTCTTTACAGAAGACCAAACGTCGATCGGTTTCAAACTACACTCGTTGACAGGTAAAAATTGAATTAGTTGCGGCCTCGTTGTGTTTTCTACAATTTCACTGTGATTAAAGTGTCTTTGTTAAGAGTTAACATCACAATTAATTTCGGGTTGCCATTCATCCTCCTACGCCTGTTTATGAATAATCCAGAGCTCTGCCTTCCGTGATTGGCTGCAGTGCAACGCGTAGGCTTGTTCACACAAAAGCAATTACGACGCATTGACGCAGTCCAAGCACTATTACTATACACTGAGTTGCGTTACCTGCGTTTGCACCAACGCGTTTAATTTGCTCAACGTGTGAGCCGAGGCTTACAAGTGACACGCCTGCTAAGTACTTATACGCACGCGCCTATTGCTAGCTCGTTTGAATGACAACTATTCTGAAAAAAGAATCCTCCATACTTCCTAGGCCCAAACCCAATGCCTAAGATTGGGAAGTCCTATCGGATGACCTCTACATAGTCAATAACCCTCAATATGTTGGATAGGCCCTGCCCCAAATAATGTTATAATATGTTGCATAATGGTTGGATTAAAACTTTTTCTTGACTGTAATCACTTCTTAGTTATGTAACGAAATGTGTTCGGTGAGCGGTGACATAGACCTACATTTTTTTTCTCTGTTCATTAACTGTTCAAAAGGTGAGTGAATTGTACTGCTTTTTCTTCATTATCATTATGAAGTATTAATACGCGATTCGTAAAGCCTTTGGGTAAATTCGAGTAGCGTAAGTGGTTCCCCCTTTGCATTAATACGCCTCTGAGGCTTGTAAGCTTACCGTAAGTCGTGGCGGGATATTTCAGTTTCGTTATTTTTTTCTCCGTTAATGTACCTGTGCACTGTCATGCATATTCTACTAACAATCTCCTGTTTCATTGACCTTTCGTTGTGTTTCGGCTTTGATTTCATTGGTTTTTCTCTAAAATGTGTTCGCGCATTTTTTCCTAGCTTCCTGTTGGATTACGTTTTAGATTAATGGATGTATGTAGAAATTCACTGGCTTCTCTTCGATGCATTGCCATTTCAATCACGATACTGTACTCAGAACTGCAGGCAGTTGGCTGAGCCGTGTCAACTGCATAAATGTCAAATCGCTTCTCCCTTAAATGTCACGCAAGCAAAGAACATTTGCACATTCAGAAATATGGAGGTGACATTTGACGAGCGGATCATTGGGGCACTTTTGCTCCCGACTGGTTTTAGAGAAATCATCTTACTCGCACGTACTGTTTTAATAGGCATTGCATAGATAATCGCACGTGAAAACTAAACCGCAATTAAGAAGGTCGAGCGTAATTCGTTGAAGATATTGCTATGGATACTATTGATATGATTCAATGAAGAAGTATACTGTAGTTGGCTTTGATTAATCAATTCCGGTGAAGGCCAATTTGCTTATTCTACATAAGTTTGCCAAATTATGTTTCTTCAATTGTTTATCAGACCGTGAACGATGCACTTTGAGCTGGAACTATTTCTAGAACGTGTACGCAGAAGTTTTTGTGTGCGTGATTTTAATATGAGGGGCTTCCTTTACGGCTTATGTGGCGTCAACGCCCACAAATATGGAACATGCTCAGAGCCTACTATATCTCCCTCGATGGCAGGGATGTCCTACGTAATGAAAACACCCAATAAGACTTCCAGGACAGGGAATAGGGAAACAGAGGAATTAACATAGCCATGAACCCTGCCAGAAACTCACACACATTTCAGAAAAACACATTTTGATTTCTGTCTTTGCGGATATCGCGTTAAAGCTTAAGCAGTCACAGACCTAGATTGCACTTATGAACAGCCGCTAGCGTCGCGTTAAACTGTTTTTCGATTGACGGCACGGATTTAAGATTTAAAACCACTAATAAAATGAAGCATAGTATACAGTAACATTAGTAATTAACTATAATTATTCCTCTGCCGATTGTTAATGACGTTTTCATTAAGCGAGTTCTTGCTTCCTAGTGACTGGGCTTTGTAATAAAAGTGTTGGTAGACACAATAAGGAAAGCTCTCGGCAGACGTCTTCACTGTTTGGCAATATGTACAAAGTGCCTTTTGTTTTTTAAATGTAGGCCTATCATATTTCTTTAAAGTAAAGATAATATATATAGGCCTACATAAATACATGATATATATATATATATATATACACACATATACATATACATAAATATATATACATATATACATATATATATATATA